ATTCTTCGTTTGTAAATACCCAGTCTAAGCGCGACGGCGTCTGATTGCTTCTCCAACGAGTTGCCGATTTCAAATTTTTGAATATCACAGATCACGAGGTTGAAGAACCGAGCTTCAGCTGATTTTTCACTGTCAGTATACATGTGTTCCGCGAAATCGACCTTAGGAATTTTGAAGTCCGCAGAATCAGCATATGGGGGAATCCGATACGCGTAGAGCGGGAAGATCCTTACGGCATACGGTTGTCGTACTCCACGTCAGCAATGGGTTTCCTGTAGATGACCCCAACTAGACACCCTGAGGTAGTATACAATCTTACTGAACACCATACGAATTCATCAAGGTTGATAAACTCTTGGTTGTGCACTTGATGTGCCTCCAGAGAGGACCGTAATCATATGGCTACTCCACCACAATTCCTGTTTTTCTGTCATTGCGAAACAAAGAAATCCCGGGTATTGCTAGCTCCTGGTCCGTAAACTGAGAAGGTATTCAAGTTTCAGATATTCATTTCAGATGAGCATTATTGGCATCGCTAAGATCACGTAGCTCATCCATTTGATTTGGTAAACTCTCGGAGTTCATGTATAAGCAGTTTATACTTTCAATTTGAAACGCGTCCTGTTTGTCTGTATGAGCCTTATGTGAATAAACAGGTAGCCTGCCTATGCAAGGTTTTCTGAGTTGATAGTCCCTGTTCTTTACGCGTTATTTCGTGATCAAGACAGTCCACAAATGGAGTGGTCAGCCCAAACTTTCTTTTGTGCTTGATCTTGCCGTCGTGTGACTTAACCACGAGCATATGGATACCAGTCGGCAACCGACGTCTGTTATCACGAAATGTTTCCAGTGTTGCAGCCGCCATATGGGAGGACGGGAAAGTTATCTAGAATATCCGTTCTTTTTGGCTATTCGCGTCATTTGTTCAGTCAATATGTTTTTGAGCCTCGAGGACTGCTTGATGACCAGGGTTCGTGTTTTCCGGTACAATTCACACAATAATATTTCTTCTCTCGGCAATCTTTAGGCATGTTCTGGATAAGATCGCGCTCAGAATACGGTATGTCAGGCAGTATTCTTACATTCCCATCAGATTTCAGTAAGTGACTAGCTAGCAGGATATCCTCTATGTCGGTAGCATTAGTGAGTGTTAATCAAAGTAGCCTCGGGTGATTTTGATGCCCATAGTCTTTTCCCGGAGTGAGCCGTGTGTCCGTTAAAGGCTGTATTCTGGGAAGTTCATGTTTCTTCTTTAGCTCTCTCCAGAGTATCCTGTTCTGTTTGTTCTGCAAACTGAGGGGGAAATCATGCCTGTCTTTAAAGTTCATTATTATGAAAGAATCGTCACGAACCGTTATTGTCTTTCCAGGTTTTCCGAAGCGTTCAGGTTGAGGACCATGTTGTTTGGAGGTCAAAGCGCGTTTCCAATTCCTAGGCTCTTTGATGACCGGACGGATATTCTTGGGAGTAGGCTGTGTGGCCAAATCACCAGTTGATCTTCCTACGATTCTTGGGACGTTCATCTTCTTAGACGGTGACACTCGGTCATTTTAACTTTGGTAATGGAAGTCCGATCATCTACAGAGTTTTGGGAGCCATTGTTGCACTTAGGGACCTTGTTCTGAAAGATCAAAGTCTGTTGCAGGAATCTACTTCTGTCGACGTTATGATGATGTCGAGTTTCAACATGCCATCACTGGTGTTATTACATGCTCCATCGATAATGGCGCTGTCGAGATCCCTAGTCTTGTTTATCATTGCGCGTCCTTGTTTGTCTACTCGTTTTATGACTGTCCATTTTTAAGTTTGCTGACAACTTATTCCGCAGACCTATCACTAGGACAATGACGTTACGCCGCAAGACCTAAGCATCCGCGTTGCACACCTATGATCCAACTTACTGAGTCTATTGTGAGCGGTTGCTATGAGAACGGTGCACGCCTCATGGAACCAACCTTCGCGGTTGCCGCACTGCTTGCCAGATGTAGTAGCAAAACGGCATCTAGGTTTTTTGCGTGAGTTTTTCATGACTCTATTGACGTAAAATGTTTTATAGGTGCTAACAAAAGCCTAAGACGGTATAGAAAACAGTACATAAAAAACGGGAAAAAATGGATAAAAACGAGTTAAAATTAACTGAATCTAGCCTTTCAGTAAAAAACGGAAAAAAAACGAATGTTAAGCTGAGGCAAAACCACAGTTAACTATTAAGTTGGGTAAAAGTAAAAAAGTAATCTACCAAACGTATAGCTCAGAATAAATTCTTCAGGTCAGAAATGGTACTTTTGTTGCGTAAAAACACAGCAAAAGTTTGAGAAATGAAATTGCGTTAAGACTAAACACCCCCTTCGATATACTCCTTAAACTTCGTAAACAGTTCATCCTGATAAACGTTTTTAGATAATGTCATAATGATGCATTAATTAGAAAATGTGTACGAAGTGTTGATCGCGTTGATTTTTGCACGACTCAAAATTCACCAAAACCACAGACACGTGAAATAAGAATGAAAGGCTAATGCCGAAAAGCAAGCAAGCGAGTCAAAGTGAATAGGATGAAAATGTACATATATTTACATAGGGAAATGAGTGAATCATCGAATCAGTTAAGCGACTAACATTAAAGCTAGCAGAATTAATATGTGTGTAGGATGCAAGCAATGCACAAGCACACATATTCATATGAGCGCAACAATAATAAAGGTAAAATGATATAATTAGGCTGTTATCGCACAAATGACTCTGTCTGCTAAAAAAAGATAATGAAAGGGCTTAACCAAATCAAATATGAACAAAATCGATCGCACGTGATTTGTAATAATGATCTGAACTTCGCAGATAACCCAGCTCTTCCATACTATACACAGCAACAAATGCAACTGAGGACAACCAGTGAAGCAGCAGCTTATGCAACAGTAGGTCTCAACACCTACAAGAGAAAATGAAAGATCCTCAAATACAGCCAGCATGATCACATTTGATAGAGAAGCTCTGAAAGAGGTGGGAACTTTTGCGTACCTGGACACTATCATCGAGAAACAAGCAGGAACTGATGTAGATGTAAAGGCGAGAATTGGCAAAGCAAGGACAGCTTCCCTACAATTGAGTAACACATGAAACTCGAAACAACTGTCAGCCAACATTTAAGTCTGAATCTTCAATACGAACGTCATTACCACTGAATAACTACTTCTATGAATCCGGTGTTCATCTTGTTGTGCTAATAAGGTGTGGCAACTTGGACTGATGTACATATGAGCCTGATCCTACGTTGTAGCTGACTTCCTAATAGAGGCATTACACTAACACCAGTGTCAGGAAAAAATTTCAAGTGTTGTTGAACCGGATGAAAGATTTAATAGACACCCAATTTCAAAATCAATAGGCTAGATTCCGTAAGGATCGATCGTGTACAGACCAAATCGCAACACCACAGATCATTTTGAACAATCAACTGAATGGAAACCGTCACTATACATCAACTTCTTTGACTATGAGAAACCGGTTGACAGTGAGTACAGGAGGACCTTATGCAACTTTATTCGACACTACAGTGTACCTGAGAAAATCGTCAACACCATACGGGTTCACACGACAGACTACACTGTAAAGTCGTGCATGGAGGACAGCTGACGCATTTCAACTGAGGACCGGAGTCCTACAAGGCTGTTCACTATCTCCCTTTCTCTTTCTTCTGATGGTCGATCAGATTATGAAGACTTCCACATTTGAGAAGTACGAAGTACAATGGACAGATTGGAATAAACTAGACGATTTGGACTTCGCAGATGACCCAGCTCTTCCATACTATACACAGCAACAAATGCAACTGAGGACAACCAGTGTAGCAGCAGCTTATGCAACAGTAGGTCTCAACACCTACAAGAGAAAATGAAAGATCCTCAAATACAGCCAGCATGATCACATTTGATAGAGAAGCTCTGAAAGAGGTGGGAACTTTTGCGTACCTGGACACTATCATCGAGAAACAAGCAGGAACTGATGTAGATGTAAAGGCGAGAATTGGCAAAGCAAGGACAGCTTCCCTACAATTGAGGAACACATGAAACTCGAAACAACTGTCAGCCAACATTTAAGTCTGAATCTTCAATACGAACGTCAAGGCAGTTCTACTGTAAGGAGCTGAAGCTAGGAGAACTACTACAACCATTATCAAAAAAGTACAAGTGTTCGTAAACAATTGTCTACTCAAGATTCTCAATATCTGTTGACCGGATACCATCGGCAACGACCTACTGTTGGAGAGAACAAACCAGCTTCCAGTTGAAGAGGGAACTAAGAAAAGACACTGGGAGTGGATAGAACACACATTACGGAAATCACCAAACTGAATCACGAGGCAAACCCTGACTCCGAATCCTGAATAGAAAAGGAAAAGAGGAAGATCAAGGAACACATTGAGTCCAGAACTGGGGGCAGAAATGAAAGGAATGAATAGCGATTGGGAACAACTGCAAAGGATCGTTGAGAACAGAGTTCGATGGGGAATCCTGGTGGGCGGCCTATTCTCTTGCACGCGGAACGACGGGGGCTGTATGTATACACATTATCAAGCATATATGTTGAGGCTGTGGCTTATCATTGTCAATGAGTCCAATATCAGGGTAAAGTATCTAGGCAGTATTTCTTATTTCTTGGTTTTGGTCTAGCTAGGATTTTATACAATCAAAGTTCTAAGATCTTTACAGAATATTATACTGTTAGCTAAATACGTCAAGTATCTCCAGTAACACGTTTTGTGGTATTTCAGTGATGTCACATTCCAGAGCAGCAGTTTTTCTAGAATTAGCAGCTGTTATATTTCCAGTGGGAATTTTAGTTAACTACAACCTAAAAGAAATAGAATTTGGAAGCAAAGGATCTGTGAAGTGACAGTAAGAATAATCTAATAAGTCAACGAATTTATTAATTGCTTGAACATTTAAGCGGAGATAATAGAACGCTTGATGAGTGGAAATGAGATAATGCCATATGATAGTTTACAAGGCGTGAGTCATGTACAGCTCGGTGAGGTTTTGGCAGTGTTTGTGTCGAGAATGGAATATATAAAACTAACAGATTAAAGTTATCAAAACAGCAAGTTCTTGTTAACATCATGGAGTAGTAGTGAGGGAGTGAAGGAGTATACATTAACTACGTATCAGTGCCTTGGATTCTTTAATCGTTTGTTTTAATTTATTCATTAATATTTAGGATCTCAGTGTGCGAGTTATAACTGAAGGCTGTGATGCTGCTTCTAGTTCTTCTTCTGCACATTGTTGCATCTGAAGTGGTTAGGTAATTTACAGTGTACGAAAGTAGCTAAGACTTAGGATCCCTCTTCATCCGTTAAAATCTGCTCAACGCACTCTTATTGAGTTCGAAACTTCTTTAGAAAATGTTAAGAAGCTCTGGTTATCCAGGGTATCTGGAGTTGATCCCCAACCGGAATATTTGAAAAACTTCCTTGATGTATGATTTTTCAAATACAATATTTTTTGCTCTAGGCTCAATACTACGGTGATATAACGATTGGTACACCACCTCAGACATTCAGCGTTGTATTTGATACTGGTTCGTCTAATCTTTGGGTACCGTCAAAATACTGTAGCTACTTTGACATTGCCTGCCTGCTGCACAGGAAGTACGACAGTTCAAAGTCTTCCACTTATGTCCCGAATGGTACTGAGTTCAGTATTCATTACGGTACTGGCAGTCTCAGTGGGTTCTTAAGTATGGATTCCCTTCAGGTTGGTTATTGAAGCTTTAGCTCATCATATCACTTAAACAGTTGGGTTCGCTCAGTGTGAAAAGACAAATGTTTGGAGAAGCGACAAAACAACCAGGATTGGTTTTCGTCATGGCGAAGTTCGATGGTATCCTTGGTATGGCCTACCCCTCAATTTCTGTGGATGGTGTTACTCCTGTATTCGTAAACATGATCCAGCAAGGTATAGTTGAATCCCCAGTGTTCTCCTTCTATCTCAGCAGGTTAGTTATCGTTTTAATAGTTTTCATAATTGTTCTCAATGTCTTCAGAGATGATGATATATTTGGGAACAATAATATGCATTACCTGATATGAGTCTTTTGATTTCTGACCTTTGCCTTCACAATCAAATCCACGTTTTCGTTACACCAGCACTAAACTGCAGCAGTTCGAAGTTCTGGGTTTAAATATTTTAAAAAAACTGCCAAAAGTTGAAATGGACATCTTTTTTTGCGGTATCCACTGTTTGAAGCGTTTAGTTTGTTGTACAAATATCGTTTTGTGTCCATTTTAGCTAATAAAAGCGGGTGCAGTTGAGTGATTGGTTGTACTAATGTACAGGGAAAACGTGCTTGTTGTTAGGGAGCACTTCTGATTAGTATTCCAGTCCAAATAGGTATGTATATTTACACGTGACCGACTTACCATCCAGTTTCATAAATTCAAGCATTAGGTCTAATTGTTCTATTTTGTGTAGTATCAATATAATCCAGAAATTTGCTAGTCTAACCAATGGTTTCTGTATTCACAACTTTTCTATAAGCGTACAGGCATTACTCACCCTTAAACTTTTATAGGAGCCTAGATGCGTATGTAATTGTTTATTTTTATTGTGTCTACTATGCACTCCTCGTGAAATCAAATTCTCGTAGGAATTTAAAAATTAAAGCTTTCTGAATACTTCTAATATGAGCATAATTGTGCTAAATTTCGCATGATTGCGTCCTGTCGATTAGTATGTATAATACATTTTAGACGGATTCTAAATAACAAGACATGTAAACAATAGGGTCTTTCATATACAGCCGTTCAAGTTTGGACAGTCCACATTACTATTTTAGATCACTGAAACAACATAATAGATAGATGACAATCCTCAGTACCGGTAGACAACAAGCATCAGGTTGGCTTAATGCCCTATGGTTATATCATTCGAATTGCTGGTTTTTAGTGTACGGATACTATATACTGAGTTAGAAGTGAATCAACTATTCTCGTTGAAATGTTGCTTTACCATCATTCATGAAATGTACGTGCTCGTTAGTGATTGGAGATAAAAATTAAGTTTCGGAGGTAACACTCAAGAAAATCGGCTGTTCAGTTATTTTTTCTCCAGTGTTGTAAAATCTACCCGGGGCATTTCAAAGATTATTTTTCACGGGATGGTTAGACTCGTTAATGGACCCCTAAATATTTTAAACTGTTCAGCGGTTTAAATATCCAATTCTCTGAGCAACTGTTGCAGAATTGAATAGGGTTTCTGAATCCAGAATAAACTAATGCTGTTTATTCATTGAGTATTTTTCCACCATAACTTGGTAAAATCATATTATGATCAATACCGTTTTCCTATTGCATTATTAGTTTCATTAATCAGTCAACTAGTCAATTAAAAAACAAACCAAATAAAATTAGTCGTTTTCATACTGCTGGTCTTTATTGAACCTTATGTTGTAAATATGATAATTACTGGTATATCAGTCAATAACGTTACATGTGAAGGTTTATTATTGTCCCGAAGAGTGATGTTTAATCTTTATAATTTAGGAATATATCAGCTGTGCTGGGTGGTGAACTAATGATTGGTGGTATCGATGACAAGTATTATACTGGTGAAATCAACTATGTGGACTTAATGGAACAGTCCTATTGGTTGTTCAAAATGGACAAGTAAGCTAAAACTGGAAATGTTCAGTAAATCATTTAAAACTATTTAACTGGTTTCTTATTGATTAGTTATGTGGCTTTTTTAAGACAAGTGGTTTACTATCCAAATAATATTTCCCAAACATACGTAGTGAAACATTGGTGTTAATTTAGAAGGCAAAAGACTTCCCACTAACTTTATTACAGTGTAGATGTTTTTACTGACCTTGTGTTTAAAACTCAGATTTATGACCAGCCGAGCTAATATCACCTGGTAAAAAGCGACGTTAGCAAAAATACTGATGATATAACTTCTTCCCAAAATACTTACTGGAGTTTTTTATTATTCTTGCAATGCAATTAGTACTATCCAAATCAAATAAATCCCTGATAGAACTGATACCTCTGTAACATCAGTACCTTCTCGAATAGTTTATACTATAAAAAGTTTTGTAAAGCTCAGTGAACCGATCTCAAGTAATTGCTTTCATTTATGTGAGCATATAAACATAGGTTCAAAGAGGTACCGAAATATATATGTCACACATCAAAGATGAGGTTGTAAAGAGACAGAGAAAGTGAGTATAATAAAAAAGAAACAAAAATCGGTAAAAATTAGTGTCTGAGAGTGAATTAATAATAACAGTGATAATAATAATAGAAGCGGTTCACTTAATAAAAATACAACCAGAAAGAATTCTTGCAGTTAAATAAGTTACTTTTTTATGAAAAAAGTTACAGCAGGTTTGCCACTGGCTTCTATTATGAGCCATGCCTGATAACGCCTCAAGCCAGTGTAGCGCATATGTATCTGGTGCCCCCTTGTGCCAATATTTACGTGTTAAAATAAATAAATAAGTGCACCATCTCTAGGACCCCAATCAGGGAGTCGTAAAGGACCAACAGAAACCAGTCTTGTACGGCTTTCTTTCATAACACGACGGCATGTCATGAACTAACCATCTCTTCGCTTTTTCCAATCAACCCCAGCGTCAGCAAATAGTTCACGATGTGGGATTCGCTGGAATGACATTCATAGGACATGTTCAGGCCACCGAAGTCGGTGTCTCACGATGGTGATACCAACTAAATTATTGTCGTTGTGCCCGAACACACGATGCCGAACCTCTGCATTACTAACATGGTGTTGCCACTGGATGGCAGCAATCCTTCGAAGACAACGATGGTCAAACACAGTCGCCTGTCATCCTCAACTCGGAGAGGTCAGGTTTTACAAGCACAGAGCAAACTACTCTCACCGATGCGTTGTAGACTCGACATTATACAACCAGACTAACATTACGAGGGCGCCAAAGATGGTCCAGTTTGTTATCAGCCTCTCTAGCTCCCACTCTGTGTGCATTGATCTCATCACCATCAGCATTTACACAGCTACTCAGACGCACTAATTTTTCGACTACCTCTAACAGCTCACTACGAAGAAAGAATGCAAGCAGCCCCCTGTCAGTCTTGTAAAAGTATTTTGCACATAAAGGTGCAAAGCACATGCCATACCTACGGACAATGATTACCAACTGACTACCGTGGATTGCATGGCTTGGGTATCACACAGTAAGCCAATATCATCCCCATACTGCAGGTCGAAAAGTCTCCAGGCGACAGATCCACACCATTACTACCTATATCCAGTAGGGCTGTTACTAAAACATCATCGATGGCAAAGTTGAAGAGAAATTGTGAGATTGGGGGACCCTGCCTAACCCCACTGTTTGAAATGAAACAATAGAGAGATGGTCATTTGCCTTCAGTCTTCCTGATGTACTTGTATACAGGGCTTTCATTATGTTAATAAGCTTATCAGGCATACCTTTCTTCATTAGACAGCCCTAGAAAAGTCTTGTCCAACGAGTCGAGGGCAGCCCTGGTGTCCGGAAACACCACGATCGTTGACCTGTAGTATGGCGGTGTTTTAACATTCTGCGGAGAATGAGGATATGATTAATGCATCCTCAACCAAAGCAAAACGAGTCTGTTCTCGTGAGTCAGTCTTTCTCGCGTTTTGAATAATGCGTATAACGGAAGCTAAGACTTTGAACGCAATCAGAAATAGACCTACCCCCCGGTAGTTGTTGCATAGGTGATGTGAACCCTTTATAAATATAGGGACAACTGTCGACTCATTCTACGATGTTGGAACACTCTCTAACTGTCGGAAGTTTGCAAACAACTCAATTAGTTTCTTAACTAGGTCTCCACCATCTTTAAAAGGGGCTGGAGGTAATTCATCTGGGTCTGGTGAATTGTGGCGCTTCAAGAGTTGGAGTTTCTTGCGGACTACCTCGTCTTTAGTTGGATCAGTCGTCACCGGCCTTTGAGAACAGAACTATCTGATCGATATCGCTGGGAGAGCAAACTAACTAAACTGTCCTTCAAAAGAAAGTTCTTGTAGAAGCCTAGTGCTCATAAGCCTCAAGCTACTTTACTCACTATTTTCATGGCGTCATGCAATTGCAGCCGTTTCTTATCCATGCTTTCCAGTTGATTGATAGCTAACCTTAAACCTAGATCGGTTTTGTGTTTAGTTGTAACAGAATCCGTAACCAATTTACTGGCATCGATTCGTTTATGACGATGAATTTGTTGGCCACTGAAAAGTAAGGTAAGATTAGCGCAACTAGGGACATGGTCAGATTCCAGATAGTTACTCCGACAGGAGCTGCCGTTTTCTACACATCCACGCCAGCGTAGTTGAGTCCAGCCTTGAAATGCAGAGGGAGGACGCCAGGCGCTACATCGGCGATAACGGTGCCGGAAGTTAGTGTCAGTTAATAACAGGTTGTAGTTTGCTCAAAGTAGCAGTAGGCGGTCCCCGTTATCTGACCTCCGACCAACAAGTCCCCACCGACCACGCAAACAAATCACTTCTGTCCTTAGATGCCCGACCTTTGCATGCAAGTCTCCAATCAGTGCTACAATATATATCGAACACTTTCTGTAGAGGAACACTTAATTGGTGGTAGAACTCATCCTTGATCGGATCCGGGCTACAATCTTTCGGAGTGTACGCGGAGATGATGAAAGACACCGTTTCGCACACCGATTTCTTCGCACTTCGATGGAACTTTTCAATCTAACAGCATATGCCTGACTGCTAATGGAAATCCAATTGATCAATGCTGTCTCAGCTCTAGAGCTTAGTATGACACCAACGCCAGAAAACCCAGACGAAGACGCCACAGGATCACCGGATAAGCGCAAGTAAAACAAGCTTTTCAAAGCGACAAATGGAGAGCGGATTTGTAGTATTTCACTAGAGTCTTGTATACGGGTCTCGGATAGACAGCAGACATCGATATTAAGACTTTCAAAAGACATAACCAACCCTACCTGTTGTCCGATCTGCATTAGTGTGCGAACGTTGAAAGAAGCCAGTTTGAATGTTACACGTAGTTTCAGTATTCGTATTCGGTGGTTGCATTCAACTTTCGACCAGTCAGTAACTCAAGATCGTTTAGATAGAAAAGAGTTTCCACCATAGGCGAGCTGCTGTATAAGTTGAAATATAAGGATACACCAAGTGTAAATAAAAAAGTAGATAAGTAACGTAGTATGTAAATAATAAAAATGCGTGTGAATTGTCTGGATTTTAATTGAAATGAGAATAGTATTTCCAGTAATTATCGTCATTTCATGTGTGTATGGGGTGTCGTACTGCCCAGGTGCCCAAAGCGAAGCAGGTTGTTTCCTTAGGGGGTCACGCGGAGCCTTCAACCTAAAGGTCTCACCGACAAGGCAGTGGAGCAACGTCAGGAGATGCGGTTCCATGGTAGCCGGTGACCAACAATTGGTTCATACGCCATCTGTTCCCTCAGGATCCAGGAGTCTGGCTTGGATATAATTTGGCCCAAGTTGCTATACATTATTTAGATGACGAGATAAACGGCAAGTGATCGAAATAATGTAACAGTCATAATGAAAAAGATTGTATGTATTACGTTTGTTTGAGAAAGATGGTGGAAGGGAACATGTGAAGCAATGTTAGAATTCAAGATGTAGAATAAGATGAAAAGTGGATGCATCTGCTTCATTGCTTCCCTTGCCAAACTACGTCACCCATAATTCATTTTCTATCGTTTGTTTGAATCTTCCCATTGATGTGTAGGACTGAAATTGATCAGTCTCTTATTGACATATGTGTATCCTGTGTGGACTGCCCCGATACTGTCTTAAATCATAAGCATTATTACCAGAGTTGGATGGCGACTAGCAGTGGAATCCAAGACGCGCGTTCCGTCCCATGTGGTGTATAACGCCATAACGTTTGAAGCTAACGGTAGTGTCCGAGTCCTGGCGTGAACATCAACACTGGCATGCAGGTACATCTAGCTGACGAATTTTAGAGAGGACGAAACGCCCGTCCTGGATTCCACTGCTAGGCTTCATCCATTTCTGCTTATGTCACTCATTTTTTCTAATTATTGGTTACGATAATCATACGGACCTCAACCAGGTAATCTGCACCTACTTACACAACTCAGTCTAACTGTCAATCACTTCATAGGCTGATGCTACATTATGGCTTGGTCGTCACAGCCTACTCCTACACCGGATATCACCCATAGTGGTAGGAGGTGATTAGGCATACGTGATGCACGTCTCAACTATCTCGTTTGTTGAAGATTCACTGCAATAACAACCGATTTACCATCTTTACCTACTACACTGTATGTCCGACCTCGTTCAGTGATCCCAAACCACGCGAAAAGTGCGTCGGTGAACCGACTGTCAGAAATCTGCATTCTCAGTATGTGCTTTTAGAGTCCATGTTTTTGTAAGTTTATGGTGTACATTGCTTAGTTCTATTCTGTAGTTTTTATTGGATTTTTATCTAAATATATGTATCTATGTTTCTAAAATTCTCTTTCAAACAGACTGACTACTTCAGATATAACCGTTTGTCCTGATGGATGTCTGGCTATTGCCGATACTGGCACTTCGATGATCGCCGGTCCAACTGACGAAATACAAAAAATTAATGCAAGGCTCGGAGCCACTCGTCTACCTGGTGGTATTTATACCGTTTCTTGTGATAATATAAACAATCTCCCAACGATTGATTTTGTAATCAATGGAAAACCTATGACATTAGAACCTACAGATTATTTAGTGAAAGTAATTTTCATTCTGTTTTTCCTTATACGTATAAGGTGTGTCTGTTCATTTCACCTATATCAATACACTTTTTTTCAAACTAAGTATCAGTGAAAATCATTTTATTCTACATACTTGTTCCCTCTACTTGGATTTCCTCGTTTATTGTGGTAAATGTGTATTTCAGGTCAATTTCTAACACTGATGTCTAGTTAGGATGAAAGTATATATGTCTGTCAGAGCTCAGAGAAAAAAATTTCGTGCGGATAAAAATGTATTTAATATTTGCATTAACTAACTGTTCAATCTTTTCTCCACATTTAAAACCAAACAGAATTGGATAGAGGTATCAAATGACTACCATGGATTTGTTTTACTTATATGTGTATCTATTTTTGTTTAACATATGCCAACATTTTATGGATTCAGAAAGCTCAATTGGCTTTTGTCAACTTGTAAAGTAGGTGAAATGACAGCCAAATAAAGAATGAGTTAAATGCACAGCAGTTTCCTCTATTCCACTTTATGAACTTTAAACACGATAATTGAAAAAGAGGATATTTGTAGGTTACTAGTATTTAATCATAAGTTCATCGGCGCAGTTTGGGATCACTGAATGAGGTCGGACGTATAGTGTAGTAGGTAAAGATGGTAAATCGGTTGGCGTTGCAGTGAATCTTCAACAAACGAGGTACTTGGAATGTGCATTACATATGCCCAGACACTGGAAGGAAGGTGGGTGGATCAAACCAAAATGTAGCATCAGTCTATGAAGTGATTGACAGTTAGACTGAGTTGTGTAAGTAGGTGCAGATTACCTGGTTGAGGTCTGTATGATTATCGTAATCAATAGTCAGTGACGTGTCTCGGAGCATTCATTCTTTGTCACCACTTAGATTCTGAATCCCGTAATATCCTTCTACTTATTTTTACTGTTTATACCTAATCCTTCTTACTACAACTGATATTGTCACTACTTTTAGTACTTTGGTATTGGTCTTAATAATTTATCTCACTGTGCTAATGTTGCGTGACATGTTCGTTCTGTGCAAATATATACGAGGTTCTACGTTGTGTATGACTTACTGGTTGATACGATTGGATATAGAAGTTACTATCATTTATAATAATGCCCTGTAGTTAGGAGGAAATTAAAATATACCGAGCGGGTGAATCTCACAACTTGTCTGGTAAAACGTGTATTAGGTGACTACTTATTAATTGATGTCTTGACTCCTGGTCCTACTCAAATGTTCTTCCACGTTAAATAACTACTACAACTACGCCTGTTAATCCTCATGGAGGATAGGCCGCCCACCAGGATTCCCCATCGAACTCTGTTCTCAACGATCCTTTGCAGTTGTTCCCAATCGCTATTCATTCCTTTCATTTCTGCCCCCAGTTCTGGACTCAATGTGTTCCTTGATCTTCCTCTTTTCCTTTTCTATTCAGGATTCGGAGTCAGGGTTTGCCTCGTGATTCAGTTTGGTGATTTCCGTAATGTGTGTTCTATCCACTCCCAGTGTCTTTTCTTAGTTCCCTCTTCAACTGGAAGCTGGTTTGTTCTCTCCAACAGTAGGTCGTTGCCGATGGTATCCGGTCAACAGATATTGAGAATCTTGAGTAGACAATTGTTTACGAACACTTGTACTTTTTTGATAATGGTTGTAGTAGTTCTCCTAGCTTCAGCTCCTTACAGTAGAACTGCCTTGACGTTCGTATTGAAGATTCAGACTTAAATGTTGGCTGACAGTTGTTTCGAGTTTCATGTGTTCCTCAATTGTAGGGAAGCTGTCCTTGCTTTGCCAATTCTCGCCTTTACATCTACATCAGTTCCTGCTTGTTTCTCGATGATAGTGTCCAGGTACGCAAAAGTTCCCACCTCTTTCAGAGCTTCTCTATCAAATGTGATCATGCTGGCTGTATTTGAGGATCTTTCATTTTCTCTTGTAGGTGTTGAGACCTACTGTTGCATAAGCTGCTGCTACACTGGTTGTCCTCAGTTGCATTTGTTGCTGTGTATAGTATGGAAGAGCTGGGTCATCTGCGAAGTCCAAATCGTTTAGTTTATTCCAATCTGTCCATTGTACTTCGTACTTCTCAAATGTGGAAGTCTTCATAATCTGATCGACCATCAGAAGAAAGAGAAAGGGAGATAGTGAACAGCCTTGTAGGACTCCGGTCCTCAGTTGAAATGCGTCAGCTGTCCTCCATGCACGACTTTACAGTGTAGTCTGTCGTGTGAACCCGTATGGTGTTGACGATTTTCTCAGGTACACTGTAGTGTCGAATAAAGTTGCATAAGGTCCTCCTGTACTCACTGTCAACCGGTTTCTCATAGTCAAAGAAGTTGATGTATAGTGACGGTTTCCATTCAGTTGATTGTTCAAAATGATCTGTGGTGTTGCGATTTGGTCTGTACACGATCGATCCTTACGGAATCTAGCCTATTGATTTTGAAATTGGGTGTCTATTAAATCTTTCATCCGGTTCAACAACACTTGAAATTTTTTCCTGACACTGGTGTTAGTGTAATGCCTCTATTAGGAAGTCAGCTACAACGTAGGATCAGGCTCATATGTACATCAGTCCAAGTTGCCACACCTTATTAGCACAACAAGATGAACACCGGATTCATAGAAGTAGTTATTCAGTGGTGTTAAAATTTAAAAGAAAGATTGCATGTAAGGACATAGTACTGGAAGAAAGAAGTAGTTGGTAGAAAGAAAGATATGAAGCTATTTTATTCTCATAGTTTAAAGGAAGAAAAGGACTGTATACACCTACGCCATTGTGGTCGATTTTCAGCCATGTCACCCAGAGTCTCCAACCATTGGTTGCGGTAGTCACGAGGACCCCAACCAAGTAGTCTGCATCTATCAACATGGCTCAGACTGGAAGTTAGTGACTTCAAGGACTGATGCCACGTTTTGGTTTGGCCTCCCCTAACTCTCACTCGTCTCCAACACTAGTCTGCATTGTGCGTCGTGGTAATCGGTGTTCAGGCCTACTCAACACAAGGCCCAACTATTTCAGTCGATGAAGATTCGCAACCTCATCAACTGATTTACCATCATTCCCTAATACCCTGCGTCTAACCTCACTATTACTTATCCGGTGATCCCATCAGACGCCAGCAATATTTCTAAGGCATCTGTGGTCAAATACTAGTAGCTTACGAGCATCTTCTACTCTTAATGACCATGTTTCGCTGCCGTAAATTAAAACAGAGCGGACTGCCGCGCAGTATACTCGTCCTTTTATTGATAGACGGATATCTCACCTTCGCCATAGGTGACGTAAGTTGGCAAAAGCTAAACGAGCTTTTCGAGTTAGTTTAGAGATTTAGTCAGACACCAACCTGTTAGGGCTAATCAGACTTCCAAGATAAGTGAAGTTGTCAACGCGTTCGACTACTTCACTACCTATCCTTAGTTCAGGTGTTGACGCAGGCCAGTTCTGAAGCAACAACTTGCATTTAGTGGGAGAGAAGCGCATTCCAAACATTCTGGCATTGTTGCTTAGTGCTGCCAGAAGACTCTGCATTTTATCAGCGTCCTCACCAAACAGGACTATATCATCTGCGTATTCTAAGTCGGTAAGTGGACCTTCTGGAAGCAGATCAATACCCGAGAATCCAGTAGACGAGAATGTTATTTCCATCAATAGGTCTATGATGAAGTTAAACAAAAATGGAGAGAGTGAACAGCCTTGACGAACACTACTTGAGGTTGCAAAAGTAGATGACAGTTCGCCATAAGCTCTGACTCGACTGGTAGTGTTCGAGTAAAGAGCCTTCACCAGGTTTATGTACTTGTGAGGTACTCCTCTCAATGACAGACACTGCCACAGAATTTCATGGTCCACAGAGTCATATGCTGCTTTTAGGTCAAGAAAGACCACCTCTATAGTTCTCACACTTGCTCAGATCTTTCTTTAATATCTTGAAATATCTTTCTTCCCATCCTGTTGGGACTAATGCTTCCTTTCGAATCTTTCTGAATAGGACGTGGAGCATGTTTAGAGTCAGCTTCAAGTGGTATGTTGTCTGTTCCTTCTTTATTGTACTCTTGATTTGTTTAATGACCATGCTGATTTCTTCGATTGTTGGTGTGGTGACCTCTGTAGAAAAGTCTGTAGGTGTTACTTCGACACCTGGTGGGTTCGGTGGGACTGGTCTATCACAGTCATACGAAAGTGCTCGACCCACCTGTTCCGATGTTTCTGAATCTCAGTGATGGGCTGTCCTTCTTTGTTCTTGAATGAGGTTTGTGTGGCACATATGTATTTGGTGCTTCATTGTACCAATGTTTATGTGTTAAAATAAATAATATTGTTCTTGACTAATCTCTGTGGTTTACAATATTTCCTTGCTAGTCTCTTCGTTGTGTCATATAGTTGTCTCATATTTTTGCTCCCTTTATAGCTTTCCCCATCGTCATTGCAAGATCTTCCACGTACTTCTGTTTGTTGGCTCTACTGCTCCTCTTTACTCCCTTATCCGCTTCTGTGCATTCAGTCTGTCACTCGAGTCCTGTTCAGGTTATCTATAGAAATGCATTCTTTATGATGGTCTTCCTAGAGGCCCAGAACGTTTTGACATGCTGAAGTTAGGGCTTCTTTGGTTCCTTTCCAGTTATCCTACATAGTAGTTCCCTCTCCTTGGAGTAGATCTTGTCAGGTTTGGAACCTTTTATTGAGAGCTATCTTTAATCCACAGAGTTTGTCAGTATCTCTAAGGAAGGCGGTATGTAACCTTTGTAATGCTGTTTCTCCATTTGTCAAGTGCCGCTTTAGCTTCAGTTTGATCTTGACAACCACCAATCACCACCACCAAGTGGTGATCCGAAGCTGTGTCGGTACTTCTTTGTGTTCTTACGTCTTCCCTTGTTCTTCTGAATTGTTTAGTGATACAGATATGATCGATCCAGTTCTCTGTAGTGTGATTCGGTGAGACTCACGTAGCTTTGTGTATGTGTTTGTGGGAGGAATATATTGCCCCCTATAACCATGGTATTGAAGGCATATGAGTTTGCAAATCTCTCACCATTCTCGTTTCTTTCTTTCAGTCCATGTCATCTCATGATATCTTAATACCCAGTGTTATCCACTCCGACCTTGGCGTTTAGGTCTATCAGAATGATCAGGTCTTTCCCTGAGCACTTCACTATGATCGATTGCAGCCTCTCGTAAAACTGATCTTTATTGTCGTTGTTGCTATCATTGGTGGGTGCATAACATTGGATAACATTCATTGTGATCCCCTCTTCTTTGTTTTGAAGGATGGTTTGATGATTCTGGATGCATGAGATTCCCATCGTAAAAGTGCTTTTCGTGGTTGTCTGGACAGCATTGGTGTGACTCCTTGTGTGTGCGAAACACTTTCTCCTTCATGAACAGAGTATAACTTCATCTCTTCCGAAGCTAATCTTTCCTGTCCAGCATGGGTTCAATGGGTTTCACTGATTTCGAGAACCGCCAAGTTGTATCTTCTGATTTCTGCAGCTATTCGATTGGTTCTTTCAGTCTCCAACATTGTCTGGACATTTCATATACTTATAATAAATGCCGCTCTGGTTGTGAGAATGGACATTATTCGATGACTTCCGACGAATCTCGGCTTTCATCATGAGGCGTCATAATTCTTCTAAATGTAGATCCTTTAACTCCCATTACATTGTATAGATTGTTTTTTCTGGTTAGTGTTTCTTTAGCAGGGTGCTAATGAGCTGGAAGCAGCAGCTGCATCTGGTAACTACCGGAAGCTCTTCCAGCTCATCCGAGCCACTGGCAGCAAGAAGTCTGGTGTGAGTGAAACAATCTGCGAGGATGATGGGATGCCAATCACTAACATCCATCGACGTCTTGGACGATGGGCAGAATTTTTCGAAGGGCAGTTCAACTGGCCTGCTGCTCCGGCAACATCGGTCAGGCTGTCCTGCCCTCCATGGCCGGTGACGACTGATCCACCAAACGAGGAGGAAGTCCGCAAGGAACTCCAACTCTTGAAGCGTTACAAATCACCTGGCCCAGATGACTTACCTCCGGCTCTTTTTAAAGATGGTGGTGACTTTTTGACTAAGGAATTGACGACGTTGTTTACAAAGGTTTGGGAACTAGAGTGTGTACCAACGTCATGGAATGAGTCGATAGTTGTCCCTATCTTTAAAAAGGGTTCACGTCGTTCCTGCAACAACTATCGGGGGATAAGTCTACTTCCGATTGCGTCCAAGCTATTGGCTTCCGTCATACTTCGTAGGTTGTTCAAAACTCGGGAAAGATTGACTCGCGAGGAGCAGGCTGGGTTTCGTTCTGGTCGAGGATGTATTGATCATATCTTCACCCTCCGCCAAATGTTAGAACATCGCCATGCTTATCAAAGGCCAACAATCGTAGTGTTTCTTGACATCAGGGCTGCCTTCGATTCGTTGGACAGGACTGTTCTCTGGGATTGTCTATTGAAGAAGGGTGTGCCTGAGAAGTTTATTAACATCCTAAAAGCCCTATATAAAAACACCTCAGGCAGAGTGAGGGCATACAACCACCTCTCTCCATTGTTCTATACGAGTAGTGGGGTTAGGCAGGGTTGCCCAATCTCACCATTCCTCTTCAACTTTGCCATCGATGACATTCTGGAAACAGCTCTGATGAATGTAAGTAATGGTGGTGTGGATCTGTTACCTGGAGAAAGACTTCTCGACCTTGAGTATGCGGATGATATTGTCTTACTGTGCGATAATGCCCAAGGCATGCAATCCGCACTTAATCAGTTGGCAATCAGTGTCCGTAGGTATGGTATGTGTTTTGCACCTTCGAAGTGCAAAGTACTTCTACAAGACTGGCAGGATTCCAATCCTGTACTCACCCTGGATGGTGAGCAGATAGACGTATTCGAGAAGTTCGTGTATCTGGGTAGTTGCATAAGTGCTGGTGGGGGTGTGAGTGATGAGATCAATGCACGTATAGTGAAAGCCAGAGTGGCTTATGCCAATCTGGGCCATCTTTGGCGCCTTCGTGATGTTAGTCTGGCTGTAAAAGGTCGGATCTACAACGCGTCGGTGAGAGCAGTTTTGCTCTATGGTTGTGAAACCTGGCCTCTCCGAGTTGAGGACGTTAGACGACTCTCTGTGTTCGATCATCGCTGTCTCCGAAGGATTGCTGATATTCAGTGGCAACACCATGTCAGTAATGCAGAGGTTCGGCATCATGTGTTTGGGCACAGAGATGATAATTCAATTGGTGTCACCATCTTGAAACACCGACTTCGGTGGCTTGGACATGTTCTACGAATGTCGTCCCAGAGAATTCCACGCCGTGCATTATTTGCCGACTCTGGGACTGGTTGGAAAAAGCGGAGAGGTGGTCAGTGCATGACATGGTGTCGTGGTATGAAAGAAAGCTGCAAAGGACTGGCTTGTGTTGGTCCTTCACGACTCCCTGGTTGGGGTCTGAGAGATAGTGCTACACAGTGGCTAGAGACGTTATCAGATATGGCTCAGAATAGAAGCCAGTGGCGATCCTGCTGTAACCTTCTTTTACTTTCTTCATAAAAAGTGGTTGTGTCTCCCTTACTTGAAAGATTTCTTCTGATTGTACTTTTCCGTTCCACTGTTACGACCACACTAAATTACACCAATCTCTTCGTTATCGTTCTCTTTTGTGCTCCTTGTTTTTTTTTTTCTATCTCTTCGAAGTTACATTGTTTTGTGTGGCGCAGATATATTGGCGCTCTCTTGTACCAATATTTATGTGTTAAAATAAATAAATAAATAAAGGGTTGTTTTCTACTGGATGTGGTTGCTGATCCCATGCCTAACCCTTCTTTTTATCCGGGTTCGAGATCAGCAGTAACCTTAGAAGAGCTACAGGTGAAGTTAATAACTACTACTCCTTGTGTGTAATTATCTTTTATTGTGTCGCTACGTCTATATGCATTTCTTTTCAGTAAAACATGTTTGATTGTTTTTGTGCATGATTTTGATTTCGATACAGGTATCCAAAATGGGTTCTGAGATTTGTCTAAGCGGTTTCATTGGATTGGACTTGCCGAAGAGGAAATTATGGATATTAGGAGATATATTCATAGGTAAATTTTATACAGTATTCGATATGGGAAGAAACCGTGTCGGTTTTGCGAAAGCTCTTCATCCAGATTCTGTTCATCGTACAAAAACATATATCCCTATGATGCGATTATTCCCTGCTCAATCAGTTCCACAAGCTGCTTTAGAAACCCCAAGTGGGGTGTTCGCCTTTTCCAAACTTCTTTTAGATGAAGTTTGAGAAAATGATTACCCCGTTCCGATTTCTACCGACATGATGCATCTATTTTATTTAAAAAGAGTAATATTTATTATTCATTGTTGATAACCTACATTTTTAACTATTATGTGACTACTCTATTGTCCGGTTTTTTTTAATCTCATTATTGTCATCATTACCTTTTACACCTTTTTGTTAATCCCAAAAATGTTGTATTACACTTTATCTAAATCTTGTCGTGTTCAATCGCAAAATTAAAAGTAACTTGTTAAATCGCGTTTCGCTAAACTTGCAATAACCAAACTGTCCAGTTTCTTAAAGCAATTTTTCATTCTAACTTCAGTCGTATTGTAGCATGGCTTAGAATATTTTCAGGTAGCTTGTACATAATACTCCTGCGGCGAGGTTTGTATCTGTAACTCAGACCTAGGCATAATCCCTCGGATAAACAATACGTAGTTCCGTTGGCCTCCATGCAGAAATAGTTTAGCTTAAATTTGTGTATGAATCTGTATTGAGTTAAGTTACTCCTGTTCAGTTGTTTAATTTTAAGGTTCTATAACGGTGGGATTTTCAACAATGGAGCTTCCAATAACTTTCCAGATAAAGTTATCGGCACAAACTTCAGATAGAAATAGGGCATTCGAATCTGTGCACAAATGATTAACACCTTGTTCTGTCGACCTTTGGTTTGTTTGGACAATGACAGCAGAATGTTTCATTATTAAATACTTGTCATGTAGAGTAGTAACTAATTGGTCAGTGATTATGGTATCGCTTTAGATCAAAGATTAATAATGAAGTTACATCACTACTATGAATTTAGATAGTGTTATCTAATGTTTGGTGATACAGTTGTTCTGACGACTTAAATCAACGATCTCAGTAGGTACGGCTTGCTAAGTAAACAACTTCTACTTTTGCTTTACAACATTATTACAACGGATTCGTTCCTCAACCCTTGGAAGCCAGGTTACACGACGTGGTTCTAAGGATTGGTGAAAGTCGGTCGAGTGACTATTCTGTCCATTAACAATACTTTGTGGCTTCTAGAAGTTAAAATCCAACTTCGCTCAATGCTTTCCTTACTAATACTTGGTAGTTGAGATTGTGGTGTGTTTAATCTATCGGGTTACAATGTAAGTTGAGACAGTCTTTATATCGAATCTAGTTGAATTTTGTCAAAATCTCTGGACTATTTCAAGTAGTATTAAATCCTCATAGAAATAACGGTCGTTATTTTTTGATGATTGTCCGTATTACAGTTGTCCACCTGAACTACAACAGGAGAATAGGTTTCATATGGAACACCAACAAATATTTTTTCCTAACCTGATGAAAATAATATTTTTGTAATATTTCTTATCAGCCAAACCGGTCACATGAGCATTTTGGGGTGTGCTGGGGGTTCACTACTAGTCATTCTGCTTTAAGAGGGTTTTATCGACTGTCGCTTTTTACTGCTGACTTGCCCATTTTGACTGTTACTTGGTATTTTCAAACTTTTCCTGGTTTTCGAAATCCGGTTTTTGTTATAAGTCACTGTACGTTGCTGATGTTCCTCACTGTCACACAGTCTCTGAAACTGAAAACAATGAGAGAATTGAAATCTAGTAGTCCGAAGTAACTTAAGGTAACTCACTAGCTCTCTGTAACATTTTTAACGGTTGTCCCGGTTCGTATGTATCGTTAAACTGAACTTAACGTTTGTTTATCTATACTATTACTTAATATATGATATAAATTGTATTCATAAACAATTCGGAATTCGAATTTTTTCACGTTTTATAAGGCGTGAATCATTCATAGATGATAAATTTCCGTGTACCCAAATAGTATTTGACAATGTTATGTAGTCATTGATTGACGAATATTCACTAGTTATTGGTATTTTTATGTAGTACAAAAAAACAGCACTTTCTCGTATACAGTCTATCAATGCACTGCGGAAAAAGTATGAATGACTATGTTGTTAGATTAGCAGTAGATGAAAATGCTTAATGATATTTATGAAACACAACTGAAACAAGACTTCCGCCGAGTGTTTACATTTTACTATTTCGTTGTTATTTTATCTCAAACAAAATTTGTAGTTATTTCCTTTTAGTTTTAAATTTTAATATGTTGTTTACTTAATTTTATTGTGTTTGCGAACGGACATCAGAAAATTTTGATATCAGGACAAGAACTTTATCATTGAGTTGAAATTTCAGTAGTTAACATTGTCGAATTTTAAGCAATCAACAGTGATCTATGATACTGCTCACAATTTTTGCAACCAGGACCTTGTTGACTTCAGTAACCACTGATCATCAAAATAATAATTAACCTGTAGATTTAAATTGATCATTGGAAGTAAGTTAGGTCATATATGAAGGAAAAGTATAGTTACCCACATAGTACAGATGCGCATCAGGACTCTGTAACTTCAATCGATGAAATTTGGAAAATAATAGTCACATATGTATGATCTAATGGATTAGCAGTAACATAAGTTTAAGTACTTTGGATTTCAAAAGATGTTAAATATTCCAATCAGCGACAACAAGTAGACGTACTTCTGGACGTTTTAAGATAATTATACTTCGTGACATCCTGTATTGACTCTTGGTAGTTTCTGACTTTACGGTAAGTAATAGATAATAATTTAATGCGATTAACTGCAGTACACCCTGATAATCATAGTTGTATGACAATTTATACAAAATTGTGGTTTCCAGTGACAACAATGAATTTCGTTCACCTGAAGTAGCTCTTGTTTCTAAACTTATTTGATTATGTTATGAGGATATCAGCTTGATGATTGTAGTGTTCTCAGCTAGCCTTCATATTAACCTCTTAAATAGAAATGTTCTCATTAAAAAATTATTAGAACCAAAATCTTACGGTTGCAAGGGAACAAATGAAAACAATTATAAGATTTCAACATCTATTTACTTGGAATTACTGAGATAACTCTTTTTTCTCTAAAAATGTAGTTTGTTAAAAGAAAAATGAACAAAACAAGAAATTATAAGTTTCTATACTAGTTTCTAAAAAACAGATTGCATCCTTCAAGACGTGTTGTTAACTGATTCAAAGGTATAGATTGTAATGGTGAATCATTTGGATTAATTTTGAACAACCATTCTAGACTTGATTCGATATCAATCGATAGTGTGTACTGTTGCTGTTGTGTTGTGATAGGTTTCCCACTTTTCGGTCTTACATTCAATGTGACAGCAGTGGATGGAGCTATGCATTCGATTGCATGCTTTACTTGAACTAATGTTACGTTGCTGGATTGTACTCCATCTGATCTGCTTGTTTTTCACCAGATTAAAATAAACATCAAATGATAAATAATCATTTATAGTAAATTTGAAAATGGTTAAATTATTGTACATGAAAATTTCTCGCTTTCCGTCATATGTGAATAATTTCGAAAGTCTTGGTCATTTTCAAATATTTATACTTCAAACTGATACAAGACATATAGACAAAGAAGTCGCAACTGCTTAGTCTGAATCACGAACTATACGACATTTCGAAAGACCTATCTGTACATAGATGAATACCAAATTTGCGGGTCTGACACTGCTTATCTTCACACTGCAAAATAAAAACCCAGTAAATAATATTGTTGACAGATTTCCCAATGGTCCATTCACACTAATATTGCCCCCTTTTACCGGTATTTGTGTCCAAATAAATGAACATAGCTTACTAATTGTCTAACTGTGAGATTCTATACATTCTTTGTAAAAAGAAAATTTCTAATTTTCGTGTATGGATCTATATTATTCTACATGGCATTCATTTGATTGGCTTTTCCAGTGATTTTTTATTTTTCGACTCCGCTCTTCAGTTGATGTAATTTTGTGATGAAAATTAACTTCACACTGAATCGTTTCTAGATGATCCCTATTAGGATAGAAATAATTAGTAGTAAATATAGTTTTTGCTATATCCCAGTTTGTAGAAAAAATATATTTCAGAGCATTTACTCTGAAGAAGTGGCTTACGTTAAGTCACGAAACGTCAGGAATGCAATTTTTCTGCTCATTTGCATATAACAAAGATTATATTTATTGCTAACTTTCTATCCTATGCCCAATTTATTTGAAACTATCAAGTCCAATCTTGGCATTAATATCTACAAACTCATTGATAAAAATAATTGTCAGGGCATAATAATCTTGCAGTCATACTGTACTTGCTTTCAAGATAACGAGAAATATTTCAGTAGAACCATCAGTTCAAGCGTTACTCGGTCAGACAAACAATATAAAGAAAACTATAGCTAAGAAAATCATTTGTCATGCTTGTTGAGATGATATAATCTCTTACTTTAATTTCTGAAGTTCGGTGACAATTCCATTGACAAATGTTGCTTTTAAGTGTTTATATATTAAAATTAATTCTTTTAAGAATGGATTGAAGTCTTCATCATGTATCTATTCAAAAAACAAAGTCAAATATGAAGATATTGTAATAATAACGCATTTGTATGATATTCCAATGAGTAGAAATAGTATTGTGTTTCGTGACTTGATTTATTTCTTCAAACTAAATAAATAACCGAAATTAAATAGATAGTGCAAACGAACAAGCTTTCAACACTGGAGAAATATCTAGGGAGGTTTGTTTAACTTGGTAATTTCACTACAAGTACCATATTTTGTACCACACTACAGTATTTCAAAACACCAGTTTAATTGTTTCCTGATCTACATTATACAGAGGAAAAACCTGAGTTGAAATGTTGGTGATTCTTTTAAAGTAGTTGAAACTAAATACAATAGACTTTAGAGTTGTTCTATGTACCATGCTGTTCGTAATGAAATTTGGCTATGTAGAATGTTGAGTGATTGTACAGCGTTTAATATATTTTAGTTTCTGCTCCATAGTACTTACAGTTTCGTAACTCCATCTACTGGATTCATTGTTCACAATCGTCAAATAATTCCTTAAATATAGTAATCGCTAATATCTAATAAATTATCTCTATACACCACAAAACACATTTTACAGTCATCTAGTGATCTAGATGGCATAGTCTATGGATAATGACAACGAAAGGGGTTGGATTGTTTTCAAGAGCATGACAGATTTGTATCAGTTGTATTCAAACGGGACATTCACATTAGTTTTGAAAATATTTCTCACCAATGATCATTGCAAGAATTGTAATAAGATGACAAGTTCTCAGTATCCGGTACATATAATAGTGATATCAGATAATATGAGCTGGGTGGTCAGACTATGAGGCTCTAGTTTTCGTTTTGGACAACATCATGAACGCTTACTCTAGCTGAGATAATGTGACACCATAACATCCACGCGAGTCAAAAGTTGTCTAACTTATTCCATAAGTGGAAACTGCATTGAAGGACTTCTCTTAATATCGCACTTATGAGAAACTAGTAATAAAATCTATCCATTCATTGTGTCAATATCATTGTTCTCACTACATGAATCAAAATTGAATCCTGGTAGATGTGGTTATAGCCAAATAACTTGAGTCAGTCAGTCAGCTACATGAAATGTGATTCTTTCTTGTCTGATCATCAAAACGTATTGAGCGTGATGAATAGCACTTCTTTTTTTAATTAAATCTAATACTTGGTCATCAAAACTGTAGGGTGTGATAGAAGTATGCACGAGACCAAGTTGTCACTGTACACGTCAGAATGAATTGATGATAAGATGACGAAAAATAGTAAAAGGGGAAACAATAATATGAATTTTGGATGGAAAGTTAAAAACTTAAAGGGGTCCACTAAATCCAAAAAAATAGATGGTATTAAACGATGCTAAGCAGTGGGTTTTGAATCATGTTGTTTTAAGTCTTTAATCTCAGATTACGATTATGTCTCTGATTTCAACTGTGATACTTACGTTACACAACATGGTTCACACTGAATATTAGAATATTGCTACGCCTTGGCCTGATCGACTATAGATTTTTCCAAATCTACTACTGTACTAGCGGTTATGGTAAACAGGTGTCCACACTGATCGGGTGATTGTAACACTTTCTATTCAACATAGTCAGTGAAGGTTAATAGCTTTGTCAATCGATTCTCTAGCTTTACTACTCACCCTACATCTAACCCAAGGAATTCATTATTATTAGAAACTAGTATTTTTCGATAAGTGATGAAACAAAATACAAATCGTGTTTACTGCAGTGATGGGAGAAAAAACCATAATATAATAAGCGGGTCATCAAAAAGAATATGTAATGAAACACCTAAAAGCATAGAGTGTAAATTGACATTTATTATTGTACATCTCTTAGTATAAAAGTAATTTGCGAATCGAGAGTCTAGTAGATTATATTCTGTAGCAAGTACTTCATTATAGATGAAGGGCATCCTTTCACTCAATTGTTATCACTTGTCGTTAAGTCTACAAAGATCCATGTAACTCCTTATTTAATACTATTAATTAGCATCAATTAAAATAAAACTTGTTTATAATCTCTAACCCTTCAATTAAACATTAAATGGTGCAGAATAACAGTTATTCTAAAAAAAAGAACCTACATCATCGAATAATTTATTAAAATCAAGCATATTCTGTAAATTAGTCTGTATATTGTCATTATCTTTGCTTTCGCCTCCATCCATATTTGTTAACGATTTTGGAGATGAGTCTTTTATTTGTAAACCTGCATACTCTTCAGCTGATTCAATTATGATATTTAAGTTGTTTAAATCTTGCTGACTGAATATATTTAATAGCGCTTCATGTAAAGTTTGTTTTAAGATTACTTTTTGTTTTTCAGAGTTTTCAGTAGTCGGCATTATAACTATTAATGATAATAACAAAGAAAAAAAATTATTAAATCGAGTTGATTATACCACCCAGTCCAATAAACTCGCTAGTTGAGGTCATCAAAATTTCATTAAAAAATATTTAGGGTTCCTTCAGAATAATTCCAATATACTAGTTCCACTAGTGTCCCTTGGGATTTAGCAAAAATTAGGCTGTTCAGATGCCTTGTTGCTTCATGTTTTGCTAGAATTGCATAGAGAGACGATTCTCCAAAACTCAGTCGATCAATCATTATCTAGATGCTGCGTGGTTAATCAGGAGTCATAAGATGTTTTCATCAGTACAGGAGGTGACTAGTCGTTCTAAACTTGGGTCAACTGAACAGTCTTTACTATTTTCAATGATGAGCTTACTGTGAAAAGATCGATTTTCTTCGGTGCGCTGTCTTCATAAACAAGTGTCGATACTTCGTGAATTCTCTGAGTTTGTTTATTTTATGTTTTGTGTATTTATTGAATAGACCAATTATTTTCTCTTTGTTGGCGTCTGACTTTTCATTTATCACTTACCTGAACTATTATTACTGCTATCAATAAACGTTAGTATTTGTTCTTTAATAAATAGTATCCATGATTCCAAGTGCCAATGACATTCTTCATCCATCTAAAGATGAAAAACAGTATTATGAAAACTAACTTGTTGGTTTATCTAGGCCTTCTTATCGTAATTCTGTAAATTATGCAAAATTATGTCTTTGAAAGATTTAGGCGATAGAGCATAAAGTCAGTCACAATGAGGAGAAGACTCTTACGATTTATCCACATGTATATTTCGAAAATTCTTCAATCTTATGCTGTGGGTGTATTTCCATCATTTGTTTTGTATTCTTCGTGTCACTTTTTTAGTATCTGATCAATTTTAATGTCATCATTTTGACTGCCTCATGGCTCAAAGAACAGATAATGGCGACCGTCTGTTGCAGCTATGCTCGGATAACCGCCTCTTTCTTGCAAATACCAACTTTAAGCATAAGGAAAAACATCTTTTAACATGGAGACCCCTAATTCGTCCCAGCGTTGAACCCAAATAGATCACATCGCTATCAGCCACCGATGGAGAGGCTCGATAGAAGACTGACGCTCATTCTGGAGCACGTGCTTAGATTCAGATCATGCTCTAGTACGAGCGCGTATCTGTCTGCGTCTTACTGGACGTAGGAAAGACGCTGCAAGTAAACCTCTTAGGGTCCTGTTTAACGATAGTCAAACTAAGAGTATATTTCAGGAACAACTAGGAAAACAGTTAGGCAGCCATGTATGTGATGCCCACCTCGAGGCAGCATGGAATGATATCCGAAAAGCTGTGGAAACGGCAGTGATATCTGCTAGTACGGTAAACCGTAAGGTTAGGGAACGACACTGGGTCTCAGCAGCATCTATCGCACTGATAGATGCTCGAAAACTCATTCTACCTGGCTCTGAACATAATGAAGTGCGGAGTCAGCTTAAGCACAAGCTGAAAAGAAGCCTACACAATGATCGCGAACAGTGGTGGGTAGCGAAAGCAAGAGATATGGAAAAGTCAGCGGTAATAGGTTATAGCAGACAATTGTTCAGACTTGTTAAGGAAACCGACTGTTAGCGAAACACTCTCAGAGAAAGATGGACATATTATACATTCTCAATCCAGGAGATTGGATCGATGGACAGAACACTTCAGGGATCAGTCCAACTGGCCTTCAGCCACACTTCGATTTCCCACGATCTCTAGTCAACCTGAGTGGCAAGTTAATGTAGGTCCTCCGTCTCTTTACGAAGTTGAAAAAGCCATAGCAAATCTGAAGCAAGGGAGATCAGCAGGCCCTGACAAATTTACTCCTGAGATTTTTAAGGATGGTGGTCCAGTATTAGCAGTGAGGTTAACTGAGGTTTTAGGTAGAATTTGGGAACTGGACGTAATCCCATCTGACTGGTCTCAATCACTGATTGTGCCAGTCTATAAGAAAGGACAAAAGTCCTCTTGTGACAATCACAGAGGAATCAGTTTGACTAATATAATGTCTGAAATATTAGCTTCAATAATACTTCGACGCCTAACCAAAGCTCATGAAGAGCAGACTAGAGAAAATCAGGCCGGTTTTCGACCTGGACGTGGTAGTATAGATCAGATATTCACACTACGTCAGGTTCTAGAACACAGACAAGTTTAGACGCCCCACAATGATAGTATTTCTCGACCTTAAGGCGGCATTCGACTCTGTTGATCGTGAAGTTTTATATGGCAGTGTTTGTCACTGAAAGGAGTACCAAAGAAGTACATTAACCTTATACAGGCTCTCTACTCGAACACAACTGGTAGAGTGAGAGCTTATGGCGAACTGTCATCAGAATTGATTACCTCAAGTAGTGTTCGTCAGGGCTGTCCACTCTCTCCATTCTTGTTTAACTTTGTCGTTGACGTGCTTTTAGAGATGACCCTTTCTTCATCTAAATTTCCAGGGGTTGAACTAATAACGGGAGGTTCACTTGATGACTTAGAATATGCCGATAACATAGTTTTATTTGGCGAAGACGCTGACAAAATGCAGAGTCTTCTGACCACTCTAAGCAACAATGCAGGCATGTTCGGGATGCGATTCTTCCCCTCGAAATGCAAAATGTTGCTTCAGGATTGGGTTGCATCGACACCCGAACTAATGATAGGGAGTGAAGTAATTGAGCGTGTCGACCGCTTCACTTATCTTGGAAGTCTCATCAGCCCTTGTGGTCTGGTGTGTGACGTAATCTCAGCACGGATACAGAAGGCTCGACTAGCCTTTACCAACTTGCGTCATTTATGGCATAGGCAAGATATCCGTCTATCAACCAAAGGACGGGTTTACTGCGCAGCAGTTCGTTCCGTTTTACTTTATGGCAGTGAAACATGGCCGATAAGAGTAGAGGATATTCCTAGGTTACTAGTATCTGATCATAGGTGTCTTCGAAATATTGCTCGTATATCCTGGGACCATCGAGTAAGTAATGCAGTTGTTAGGAAACGGGTAATAGGTAAGGATAGCAAATTAATTGATGACGTAGTGAAACTTCATCAGTTGAGATGGCTGGGACACGTGTTACGTATGCCCAACGACCGACTGCCTCGACGTGCGATGTTCAGTGGTATAGGAGTAGGTTGGAAGAAAGCTAGAGGCAGCCAGACCAAAACATGGCTCAAGTCCATGAAGTCACTGACAAGTGGACTGAGTCATCTCGGTAGGTGTAGACCACCTGGTTGGGGACAGCGAGATGATAGCAGCCGATGGTTAAAGACCCTGAATGAAATGGCTCAAAATCGTTTGTAATGGCGCAGGTGCATACACTCTTTATGTTCTCCCAAATTTTGATCTCCTTATTCCTCCTTGTCCCTTTTTTCTCTTCCCAAATTTATTTCACTGTATTATACTCTTTGAATAACATCTGCAAACCCTAATCTTTCCGATTACTGCTTATACTCTTATTACCTCTACCACTACGGGATTTGAATCGATCACTGCATCTCTGTGCTAATGTGGTGTGGCAACTCGAACTGATGTACGTACGTACGAAGGTTTACGTTGTTACTGATTGACTGACTGACTCAGTAGACAGGTTATTAAAATGTTTCTCTCAGGTGTATGGTCCAAAATAAAGTTTTTAGTCTATTACAAGTTTGACTAGTCTTGACTGAATTTATGTATATTAAATAAAGTATAACTATGAGTTACTAAATCTGACTGGTTTGTTTTACAATGAAATAGTTTCTTACAACAGAATTATGTAATAATATTTAGATGTATATCATTAACTTGATAAAGAGATGTTTTTTTGAAAATAAAAGGATTTATGGGTGAGCACGCCTTCCCCTTAATTTATCAAAAATGAGATTTTATGACAGGTTGAGTGTTAAAGAGATCAGGACTTTCTTGAGTATTTTACGGATTGCTATTTATTTATTTATTGTATATTCATTAAATGGTTGAATTATTATTTTTCCATATTCCTTTTATTGTAAACACCTATTGTCTGTGATTATACTCGTTATTGTTTGATGATTATTGTTAACTAATTATGTATTGTTCGCTCCGTTCATTGCCACATATGGTTTGATTGTGCGCAAAAGATAATTTTTTATTTGAATTTTGTTGGGGTTTGAAAATTCATATATATATAAACTGATGAATATTCGAGCTAAAAACACTGGGTGTTTGATATATAGTTAAGGAAGCTTGTGGAATGGTAGAAGTTATGATAACCTCGATCTTAACTCAAGGTTAATTGTGTCATTTTAAATGTTTCGTTTACCAAAGTCAATGATACTATGATATAAACGAAATACCATTCACGTGGTTTATAAATGTAATAAGATTCTTGTTTAGCAAATGTTCTCTATGCATACTGATCACTTTATATTTATAATACTTTCAATAAGAATTATGAAAACGAAACAAAGAGAAAAAACATCTGATTAGTTGATCTTTAATGTATATGAAAATTATTGTTAAATTGAGAGAAAAAAAGGTTATGAAAGAAATGAAATTCAATGATACAATTATATCTACTATGGATCATTTTATCTTACCTTATTTTCAATAATCATTCTTAATTCATTAAGTTTATAATTATTATTTTCTTTGATTAATATTTCATAAAAACCATATACCCATTCAATACGTATTTGTTCAATGCCATAAATTTGTTTAAAGTAATTACATAGAAATTCATCAAATGTTTTTGATACATTTTGAATAATTGTTGGTAATTTTGATTGAATTTTCATCTATATTTTTATTGTAAAAATGAAATATAATAGTAAATGAAAAAAATAACTTTTTCCTTTTTCAATCATTTAGTCAATTATAATAATTGTGAAAATTAAACAAGATGAAAATTAGATTAATATTGTTCCTTGATTACATAAGGGAATATATGAAGAATTTAAATAATGATATAAATGAATGTTATATAACACTGTTAATTTATAGATTTATAAAATAATAATGTTTTAGTTACTCAAAGGTAACCATATTTTTAAACGAAAATAATTTAACATGAGTTAAAAGTTAAAAATATTTTTACTTAAACATCAATACTGGGATTTAGTTATATTCAGATAATAATTCTCAATTGGGAAAAAAGCACATTTTCTGCTTTCTAGTGTTAGCAATGATCTAACTAGACTAAAATTCACTGAACAATTTACTGTTTAGTATGAAACTTTACTGAAATAAACATCTTTAAAATCTATTTTTTTATAATTAGGTAAAACGTTTAAGCTTCTTGACTAACAATTTATAACTAAATTAAATATTTTACAAGTATATCATTTAATCATTTCGTTTTGTTTTAATTGTATCTTCCCATTGTTATTTATGACTGCAATTGATCAGTCTCATTGAGGCAATTTGCACAGGATGCACATATGCCAATATGAGACTGATCAATTGCAGTCATAAATAACAATGGGAAGATACAATTAAACAATATTAAATGAATTTAAACTTCACCCCATTGCACAAGCAGGTGGCTATCAGGACTCAGTAGCTAAGTGGATAACGTAATGGCGTTCGAAGTGTACGGTACTGGGTGGACATCAACTGTGGGATGCAGGTACATTCAACTGACGAGTCCTAAATAGGATGAAACGTGCGTCCTGGATTCTACTGCTAGCCACTATTCATCTTTGCTTACATTATTTATGCTTTTTACTAATAAATGTAACTCACTGTAAAGCACAGATTGTCCGAAATCCTTATCACTAATTATTCAATTAATCTTACTTATCTATTATAAAGGCCATAATCTTAATAGTCACAACTATTGTTTGAGTGCATTTATTTATGAATTATTTAGATTAGCTAATTTAAAATATAACACAACTATTGATTGTGAAAAAAGTCACTATCTAAACGGAATGATTTAAACAAAGTTTAAGTCATTTCATGATTTAAACTAAATAAGATTTGGTTACATCATGTAATATATAGGTCAGCCATGTGGTCAACCTAATTTATATGAAAATAATAAAATGATAAAAAACCATCAAAACGTAACGAAGAAATAAGAAAAGTTAACTTCATAATAAAGTATTCCATCAGATTATGTAATGGAATGTTATATAAAAAGTTTTGAATAATTTATAATATAATAATTTTTCATATTTCCCATTATCAGTAAATTAAAGATAAATCTCTGGAAATATTCAATTTTTTTTGCAAGATTTGATTGAAAACATTGTCAACTGTATCTATGGTTATATATTATTGATTCGAACAATACAATAAAATTATTACATTAAATAGAATAGACTAGATTAGTTAGATTAAACAATAAATATTTATTAATATAATCATAAAAATGTGAAGATGAACAGCCAATAGTGAAGAAATCGATTATTCATTTAGTCAGAAGTCATCACAACATATGTTTACTATAGGCTTCAAGTTTCAATATTGTTATGAGAATAAAAGTCTCTAAAATACATGAACGAATGTAGAAAGAATTAACTGATCGTTTATTATTACCGAACTTCATTTTTATCTGATCTATAGTGCCGATAAAATCCCATCGATAAAGTTGTAATGTAATCACTTGCATAGATGATTTAATATTGGAATGATTAAACAGGAGGTAAGTGTTTTTCTAATTTGTATTGTGATTCATCCTACCACGGGTTTTCAATAATCGTTTTTGGATAGTTGATTTACTTATTCAACTAATCGGTCTATATCATGCAACCCTTTTTTCCATCGTAATTTTAATTTAGTTAAAAGTGGAAGTAAAGAGTTGTATGTTGACTAGACACTTCGTATTTCAGTCCATCGATCAGAAGTTGAATGTTTATTCAACTTTGTATGATATAATACACCAAGAAGTGTAATAATCATTGTTGTTGGTTTGTATTCTTCATTACCATAACAGCTTACTCGATCACGTCATTAACTGTGTTTCATTATTATGTTAGACAGCATCATAAAGCTTTGGAGTAACTGATATTACGTTCACAATTCAGACTAGTGATAATACCATAAAATGCTAAGATGTACAACATTAGTTCTGATGGTGAATATTAATGTACATAAAATAAAGTTTTAATTACAGCCACCTCTGATATACTCGAAAATCTAGTTTCTAAGTGATCATCAAACACCTTAGACGTAATATTTGTATATATAGCTACCTTTATTTACAATGTAAGCTGAGGATTGAGTAATATTAAATAACTACAAATGGAGTTTAAAGAAATCATGATTAGAAGATGAAAAATCAATGATTATCAATAGTTTAAATCATGAGTCAATTGGAGCTAGACCACCATGGAAAACCTGGAAGCACTGGACTTCCGTTTCGTCCTAGTATGGAACTTCTCAGCAGTGTACATCCACGATCCCGCCACACGAGATTCGACCTCAAAACCTTCAGTCTTGCACGCGAGCGCTTAACATCTAGATCACTGAGCTGGCATCGAACGGTGTTAATGCCTAACTTCAACCAATCCACGATATTGCGTCGCCGTCCACCATTGTCTTCAGTGAGTTACTATCTTATCATAAGCCCGGTTGTACTCCATTGGTTACAGGATCGTGGGTGCGTACTCCTGAGAAGTTTCACACTAGGATGAAATGGACGTTCAGTGCTTTCAGGTTTTCCATGGTGGTCTAGCTTCAATTAACTCATGATTTCAATTATTGAAATTTCTAAAATCTTTACAAAACCTTTACTCATTATCAGTAGATTTATATTTCATTTCACTTTAAAATATATGCAATCTTTCAGTTGTAAATATCGTTTTCTAGCTATTATAAACAACTTTCAATGTTTTCCATATTTATTTGAATTGAATTTTATTTTTTTGTTTGTTTTGAAAATGATATGAGGCTGTAAAATTAGGTTATTTACAACAATACTAATTCTATTATTATTTTATCATATATTAAATGGTCGTGGATGCGCACTGCTGAGGAGTCCTATACTAGGACGAAACGGCCGTCCAGTGCTTCCAGGTTTTCAATGGTGGTCTAGCTTCAACTGACTCATGATTTCTATCTGTGAAATTAAAATTAAATTAAAGTATCAAATTATATTTCAATAATTTACATTGATTAACTAAATAATAATGTGAAATTAAATAAATTTTTAAATTTGTATATACAACATGTGATGATATAACTAAATATAAAATACAAATTTTTCAGATTTTTCTCCATTAAAAAAATGATCATAATTATAATTACTATTATTACTACTATTATAATTACTATTATTATTATTATTACCATTTTTGTTATTATTATTGTTCAATGACACAATGAATTAGTTTAATTAACTAAATGATCATGAAATTAAATAAACTGAGAATTTGTTTAATTTATAAAGTTTGATTTTTTAATGAGATCAAAGTTATTAAATATATTAATTTAACCGAATAATCATTTAGAAATATTATTCTTATCGTTTATTTATGGTCTGATTATCTCAAGTACATTCAAATGTACTTTGATATATAATGAAATAATAATTCTATGTCATTTCTTTTTGTTATTGATATTTTAAATATTTATTAATAATAAATATGTCAGAATGGGTTTTGTGGAGAGTTTTAGAAATTTCACAGGTTGAAATTAGACATTAACACCGTTGGATGCCGGCTCAGTGGTCTAGTGGTTAAGTGCTCTCTCGCGAAGCCAGTAGGTTCTGGGTTCGAGCCCCGCGTGGTGCAGGATCGTGGATGCGCACTACTGAGGAGTCCCATACCAGGATGAAACGGCCGTCCAGTGCTTCCAGGTTTTCAGTGATGGTCTAGCTCCAACTGACTCATGATTCCAACCTGTGAAATTAATAAATATGTATTTTTGTTATATCTTAAATGAGTAGAAAAATTATATTCCTTTCGTTTTGTGACTTAATTTAAGCCAATTCTTCAGGAAGGCTCTTTACTCAATGATCAGTTTATTTGAAATCATTAAAACATTTATTAAGTCTGAATATGAGTATAATTTAAAGTGTTTAACTAGTTAACACAAAAGGGGTAATAGTATGTTAAAAGGAGGAGTTAAGAAAAACTGAAAAAGAAAAAGAGAATTCAGCGAAGAAAATTTTCTTTTCGACGAAATCATTTACTTAAGCTGTACATTCGTATATATAGTTATATGGAAAATGTCTATGGAAGGATAGAAAGGATTGTATCACAAAAATGTGGATTCGACAATAAATAACAAATGAGGTTAACGTATTAATCAAGGGGTAAGGGAGAACAAAATTTATGGGTCAGATAATAGTCCAACTGACAGATAAGAAGAAAAACAACAAAACAACTGACTCATTATTTCAACTTGTGAAAACAACAAAGGTCATAATAATAAACTGAATGATTATCTGAAAAACTGAAAAAAAAAACGGTATTCAAGTTTTAACATCAAATTTTAAAAAAAACTAGTGACATGTATAACGTAAAAGGCGTAACAAAAATTACACTTGTAAACTACGCTAAATGGTTAAAATTATAACAAAAAAATTTTTATCGCAGAGTAAAAATTGTGTTAAACGTATCAAATTGTTAAGTCTTTTAATTTAGATTGTTTCTTTTATGCAGATTAATACAAACCAGGAATAATTTATTGAACCCCTAAAAACCTATTTGCTTCCTTGTTAGAATGCGAAAAGATATGTTTTATAAACATTTAAATAAAATCATAGATTATCTCTTTTTAATTTACTAACAAAACCTGGAAAAGATTTACGAATTAAGTAAATGCTGTGTACCTTTTTTAATATTAATTTTTCTATGAACTTTTCATTTACAGTAACTATTTTCTAATTGACTAATGATGGACTAAATTTCTTAGCGGTTATTTTTGAAACTATTTAAACTGGTTTCTATACTATAATTTTGCCGAAAAACTTAATTCAAAGAATTAATTGCTAGACATTAGAACAATTTCAATCTGATGGCAATCAAAACTATTGATGATAGTCTTTAGTTATTGGATTCTAGAAAAAAATTAAAAAGATGAATGGACTTATTTATAAAATTTTGAGGATGTAAACGACTGGTTCTGTGGTATTAAAGTTTTCCTAAATCATTGTACAATATTCTGATTTAAGGATCAAAATGGATATTCATGTTTAAGGTAAATCAAATTTCAAAATAGTTTTTGGCAGTGAATTTAGAATTATTATTAAAACAAATTTCTAGAATCTATGTAATGCATTAGATCACATGAAATAATTGAGAAGGAATAGAATTATAGTGAAAACTTCACAAACTATTCAAATACAAAAAAAAAAATTAAATCAGTTTATTTTAAGTTATGAAAATTGAGTGGAAGAAGTTGTGTACATAAAGAGTACTGATTAATTTTGCTAATAGAAATGATTATGGGGCAATAAATCTCACTGCTGATCTGTGTAAGAAAACGGGTTGAAAAGGATCGTTGCGATAGCAGATATGTCGTTGGAAAAACAGTGACTCTAGAAACATTCAACAGATTTATCTACAAGTGTTAAATAAATGATAAGGGCTAGTTGAACCTGACTTTATGATTCGAATGGGTTAAGTGGATTAGGACAGATCCCGACTGCTACTTTGCCTAGACACTCTGGAAGGTGCTTGATAAGGCTATGACCGGAACGCTTCTTACTGCATTTCTAGCTACTTTCTAAAACCTCAGACTATTTGTACATGTTTACTTGAACAATGGAGAAAAGGCGCAAAATATGAGAAAAAGCTTTACTTCAGGGTTAGTTCATGTGTTGAAGACTGAGGACATTTCTAGAGTCTAGGACTTTCTGCAGACGTAATGAATATGATAATAGTGTTGTGTGCTACTGATGTTGATGGATATAAGTAGTATGTATTGTATCTTGAAAATGAAATGCCTGGTGGCGGAAAGTTAATATAGAAGAAAAGAGAACGAGAACAGATAATGAATGTGATAGAAACGAAGGAACAATAATGTCTGGGACGATTGATTGACATTTTGCAAATGAATTATTTACTATATGGTTCTCAGATTTTACTAAGATGTTCTGTAATTTTGTATTCAAATACATCTGATTGTCCCAACTTGTGTTCTTGTTCACTACAGTGTGAGTGATTATCAGATCAAAGAATGTGACTCATGATCCCCCACTTTCTAGGTGTTTCAGAGAGACTTTTTTTCAGTGATGACTGAATAAAACAAGTGATGGAGCTTTCTGGGCTTCTAGAGACTTGAACAAAGGACTCTTCTATAGAGCTCTCGTGAATGGAAAACTAGATTCCTAGAGGACTGGGCAAAGGGCGGCCTGCTTGAGCATCTGGGCTACCTGTTCCTGCCATCTAAATATTTCAACAAGTTATATATTTTTTGTTTGTTTTAATATATCATTATGTTTATTAATCGCATAACCTATCCTGCTGCGTTTCTGAAAAGTGTACAACCTTTCGTTGTCACAGTTACAAAAACCCCAATAAGAGACAGTGTGGTTGCTGGCAATATACAACGAAAAGAATGCACATTATTCAGAAGTTCATTCACTGAATGCTAACATCTAACTGGCGATCACTCAATATTTATCGCCAGGACCGACCAAGAAGAAAGAAACGGAAACTTGTTGTAACACTTTGCGCTTAAAATTCTATATTGTACCAAAAATATAATATTGAAGAAAGCTGATAATAATGATAATAAAATAAAAGTATTTTACCATACAAAATTAACTGAATTGGTAGATAGTGAGTTTACACAGATTACTTCGAAGATTTTAAGCAGAAAAACTTCCATTGATTTTTTCGACACGTCTACTGATATCGCTGAGACTTGAAGATAAATTATTTAAGTTATCTAGCTCATTTATAAATATCTCATTTTGTTTGCTCTCATTTCCCGTAATGCTAATGCAGAAGTGGTATAACAACTGACTTATAAGTATCTTTCCATTACCAAATAATTTACTTTCTCAACATCCTATGGTTTATTCTCACTATGGATGTGCATCATACAATTATGATTTTATTGACCAAAGCTATGAGTAACTGATTTTGAGAAATTAATCAAAACAAACACTTTTTAGTCAATATGCTTAAACGTGAACTAATATGAAAGACAAATGTAATGATCAAATCTATAAACATGAAGTGTATTATGACAATTCTTTTAACAGGTGAATGCCGTCTAAACAATTGTTATCGCTAATTTAAAATATCTGTAGCTGACAATGTGTAGCGGTGCATCAGGGTAAAGTGCATAGTGCCTTAGTGCATACAACAAAGTGATTTATCAATTATAGATCTATCCCTTTGTTAGCCTTATTTTTACCTGTGAAAGTCGTCTCGATGCAAGTGATCGTCTTCGTTGTCCTAAAGAATGTTCCTTAAGATTAAAAATCAATATGTGTAGAGATAGGATTTACTTAAAAATCAAAAGGGGCAATAATAAATTAATTTCTCTTATTGACCCACAAAAAAGCATCAGAAATAGAACATACAAATTATTGCAATTAAGTTCACTGCAAATGCTTAGTCATATTTAATGTTAATGTTTTTTTTGTTTGGCTTTATGTACTGGCAAAAATTTTTCAATCAGTTTGGGATTCGGTTTCTAAGTTTCGTGGCTCTGAAGTCTCTTCGGACTTTGTTGAATATAATGTGTAGTTGAAAGTGTCATTATTAAACATTTCCATTATTTATCAAAAGATTAAGTCGGTGTCGAAAGGACAGATTTCCACAAATTTTATAATATTGATAAAGTTCACTCTACTTAAGATTCTCCAATCTTCTGTACTTCCTTCATGCATCAGGAGTTATTGATGTTCCTCAAAATGGTTATAAAAAATTAAGATTATGTAACATCATTAAGACCTTTCCTATGAGTTATGAAAGCTCATTTTCTCGAAATAAGTTTAAACAAAGCACCATTCTTAACGCAACTAAAGTAGATAACTTTGTATACCATTATACCCTATGAGGGTTGACGTGAATCAATATTATAATATGTATAGACTATGAGAATAATAATTATTGTTGTAAGTTTTTGTATCTCCTTGTTATCTTGACATCAAGAAACCATTTAAATGTCACCAATCCGCATAAATTACCTTGGTCTTTAACACTATTTATAATTATTGTTATATCAACTTATTTTAATATCTTTTCTGAAGAAATAAAAAGCTCTCTTGAAAAGTTAGATTTTTCGACCTTTCATAAATTTGTGGGTATCGTCGTTCAAGTTCCGCGACCACATTCTATTTGCTGTCGTGTTTCAACAATCTCCAGTTGTTCGTATTTTGAACTGTAAATTAGAAATTCTAACAAAATTCTACTGTAAATAAATACTAACTTATTATATTCAGCAGCTGACCTTCCATAATTAACATGGTGTCAAACATAACAAGGCATTCATCATTCGAAAGAGTATTCACTAATTGAAAACTAAGCTGATTTATACATTTTCTGTCGTACTTTACAAAATGAGTTGGTATTTTGATATACCCATATCTGTATGTATTGGTTTATTCATTAAACAAGTAATACTGTGATTTGGTTTATAAAATTGTGACAGATTATTAAATAATAAAAATACCAATAGGCTGTACACTATGCATAAACACTCAGTTAACATTATCAATATTTTATCCACACAAAAATCAAACAAACTGGTGATATAGATTTACAATAAAAATAATTTAAGCGAAACAGGAAGTATTACCATAGATTAGTTAATAGCGTAACCAACTAAGCCGACAGAAAGATGCTGAGATTATAACGTATTGGACTATGGAACTTGATGTTCGTCAACAGTGTCTTAACAAAGAAGCTAATGTTTTATTATTTCACATTTTCACATCTATCTGAAGTGGGTATGTCTTCATTAGTGGTTGGTAGAATTTCATATATAATTATACTACAGAAGAGTAAAATCCTCAATCAATTCTTAATGTAAATTTGGATTACATTAAATTCCTATTGTCCAGTCCTAACATAAGTAGATGTCATTTTTTCTCTCTGAAGATGCGATTTACACCAAGTCGCGAAATGTAAGGACTTTAATTTTCTGTTCATTAGGTTATGATAAATATCGAATAATTTTAATTTCTATTAGGATTATTTTTATTTATTCTTAAAAATAAATGAAAATTCACAGCTACTAAGGTTATTTAACATGATTTATAAATTTGAATCTTATCCATATAACTGTATAATATTGAATGTCTAAAGGCTATCTATATATGGTCATCAATAGTCACTTGATGATTCATTACGAATGGTGCTTAATTCTTTATTCATTTTCTTAGTATTTTGATTTTTATGAGTTTCCTATTAACAATTCACATCCGTCTAATACATAAAATATTTACCTTCTTGTAAAAAAAAAAATAAAACATGCTGAAATCGAGAATAAAAATAGAAATAAAAGTAGTACGAATTAATAACCAGGAATTAATTAACTGACTCAGTTTTGATCTTCATATTTTTAAAGGCCAATAGTACTGTTTGATTTCTATAAACATTATAAGATGGATGGGCTTAAAATGAATAACACACTGGTTAGAACTCAAATGTTTTGATCACTGACTCATGATTGTTAAAATAAATCATTTACTTACCTTCACTGAATCTTTTTCATTCTTCCTAGTTTTCCAAAGTTCATGTGTCAATAATAAACAATCTCGAAGTTGTATTGGTCTGGATATTATAACACCAGCTTCGGACGTTTGTAAAAATGATGGGACAAAATTCAGTTCTTCCTAATAATAAGTGAAGAAATGTCGCAAAGACACACACATATATATGCACAATTACACAGGATATTTATATTAGTACTTACAATTTAAACGATTAAACTTTATTAGAAATATTGAGGAAACAAGAGCGTTCCCCAAATTATCCCTAGATAATAGGCTTCTATTGAAACAGAATGACAAACTTTGATCGATAACAAAAAGAGAACTAAATCAGGGTTGGGCTATCTAATCAGTTAAACATTTAACACATGAAAAGCTTAAATTATGAACGTGATGATCAGAAATCACGATAATGTAATTAGAAGACGAAGATTAGCAGAACTATATGATATATTAGCGCGATACATTCCAAACAATCTGATCACAGATACACTTGTTAAGAGCATTTATATATAAAAATAAAAGGTCAACTAGACATATATAGGGAGGAGCAATCGTGATCTCAACATTAGGGTGAGTGAACATGTACCCAGATGGCTATAGAAACAAATACAATCAGGTTACCCAATAAGAGCAGAGGACAAACATCCATCATCCTCTATTGCCAAACATATAATTGAAACGGGTCACAAGACTGATCTAAACTCAGCTTTTGTGCTGTTGTATAAAAGTGTAAAAGGGCGTATACTAAGGTTTATTGAAGCTTTAGCCATACGAAAATTCAAACCCACTTTGTGTGGTCAAAAACAGTTTGTTCTTACCTTAAACCTACCCTGGTAGTATTGACTTATTATCCAGAGTGATTAGGTTTCGAATTGTGTTCACATTATTATTATTACTCTTATCATTGGCCTTATCTCCTCTTACCCCTTTCCAGTCTATTTAACCTTTTATTTTTATATATAAATGCTCTTAACAAGTATATGTGTGATCAGATTGTCCGGAATGCATTGCGCTAATATATCACATAGTTCTGATAATCCTCGTCTTTTAATTACATTATCGAAATTTATCAAAGGGACTAATTGTTTTAAAGATCAGAAATTAGTTAAGTTGTGTTTATAGCATCTGTGATTACGAAGAACTCAAACGATTATCAGCACATATAGTTGATTTGAGGATTTTAAGCAAACTAATTCTTATGAAGTCGATAAAACATGGAAAATTATGAGAAGTAAACTATCTTTAAAAAATTAGGAAGTTATGAAAATATGTTAATTTCTATACATGGATTAGATACAATGGAAATAGATAATTACTTATGAAGTAAACTGACAGGAGCGAGAGACTAACTAATCAATGATAACGTAAAATGACTGGTTTTGAAACGTAGATAGCAGATCATTCTGCAAATGAAATGAATATTCTACATTTGCAAGTCCGGATATTGACCGTCTATGGAGTTTTAAGTGAGCATAACTAAAGTGTCCCACACGAGTAAAAAAACTCTTCATTGCCTTCTAATATACAATGTGTACCCATCGAATGTTCACTCATAATGTAAACATTACTTTTAAATCTACGAAGATTTGATTTATATTCATTCTATATCTTAATTGTTTCTATAATACATTATTAGGTTATACTTATGGTTTTCTTTAATTTACCAGTTAGTGTAAACTATTACTAGTCAATAAAATCACTACTAAACTACTTCCACTTTAATCATTGCAATCATAGTGACATAAATAAAACCATCTAAAAAAGGATTAATAAGTGATTATATACATATTAAGGTCAACAAAAACAAAATCTTTAAAAACCGTGCTCCAAAATCACACAGAAAAACGAACGATTGCTTATGGATAAATGATGGAAGTAAAATTGGCCTAGATATACTACTATCACTAAACAATTGTTTCCGACCTAACTGGTACCATGTTCAAATAACCTGAATAATGTTTAATCACAGGAGATAAATTAAAAAGGACATTTAACATGAAATGCAAAGTTTGACCCCAAGCATTTACGTTAGAAAAAAGAAAAGAAGAGATCAACGTGTATCGTATAACAAAATAAATCCACCTTTTTTTTATTCATATTTAGAGCTAAGCTAATAACGAGCCATTAGAAAATTTAAATTTATCAAAGAAAAAAACGTTAAATGAAAGTCCTCTAATTCAATTTGCTGGTACATGAATTAAATAAGTTTACCAATTCTAATTGAATTCAAGATAGTTAAAAGATTTATGAATCAATTACGGCATTTACACTTTTGGATGCTGACGTGCTATGCTATGTACATGGATTACACATTTACGATATAAAGCGATGAAAGTCGAATCTCAGAAAACGTTTTTAATTTTGAATAAAAAATTATAAAAAAAGATTGATTGAGAATAGGAAAGTTAGGACTGGATACTGAAAAGGCTATTTAGAAAAAAGTGTAGTCTTTGAAAAATCTTTCTTGAGTTTTGAGATTTTTGAATTTCACCACACAAAAAAAATGAACAAAAATGTTATGAAAGATGTGACGATTACACCGAAAATTCAATTAATATCTATTTGAAAATGACTTTTAAATGAAACTAAAATAAAAGTTTTCAATTTATTTGTTATGATCATTAAGACGAATTTCTACTGATTATAATAGTTTGTAATGTATCCTATATTCATATATACGTATACAAATTTACTCAGATTTCCAAGATAAATACAGAACGGTGGGTTTACATGAATGTTTTAAACATTTCTTGAATAGTTTTAAAGAAAGTGTGTCCAAATCTTTTATAAGTCTAATTACTTGACAACTGGTTTACTAATGAAAGGTTCTGAATATTTTTTTCTACTTTCATAGTGACATGTCAATCAACACTTCAACTTTTTTTTATTGTTAGATAACTGGAAGGTACTGTCGCAAACTTATGTTCAACCTAAGTCACCTTTTAAAATTCAAGAATATTGAACATTTACTTACCAATCAAGAGTCGTAAAGACGACCGAAATAAACAACTAACAATTATACTTTTATAGAAATAGGTAAACTCGAAATATTTTAGATTTTTAATCATGCAAAGTGTAGTTGACGTTAATAGAAATATAACATTATCAAAGCTGCTAGTAATAACTTGAATAAAAATAACTATGTATTTGTTGTTTAGTTTCCTTAATGAATGTACTTACAAACCTGTAAGAATGAATATGTGTACGAAAACTAAATACAATCTGACCTCATTCAGAAGACTTTTATGTACTCTAGTGATAGAGTTAGATAAAAGTATTTACGATGAATATTAAGAAGATAACAAATAAGACCTAGTAAGAATATGTATTTGTTAAAGTTTCATGTTTATAGTCAGTACATTGTTCAAAGAGGCTGACAGGATAAAATAGTGTAAATTAACGAAAATAATAACGATTGCAGTGGAACGTTAATTATATGAAACTCTAGTTTAATTCGTGTGATTCATTATATTGTCTTGAATCGTTTCCTTTATCTTCAATGTTAACTATTCTTTTAAGACCGACGTTCAAGAAGGATTTGTTATAAACTAGAACGTTAGTGTGTGTATGCACTAAGTAGACAGGTTTGTTTACGAAGTTCAAATAGTCTCATTCATGACCCTAGAGAAATATTACGAAACAATCTCAAATTGAAATAAGCCTTTTCTTTTCTACAAACATAGCGTCTACACTGAAAAAAGTTGTTATCCATAACGTTAACTTAATACGATTAACAACAAACATATTTAGAACCATTTTGATTACTTGATTCATTTTTGTATTGGTTGCTTGAATCTTCCCATTGATGTTTAGGACTGCGATTGATCAATATATTATTAGCAAATGTGCGTTCAGTGTTGATTGCCTCAATATTGCCTTAAATCTCAAGCATTATAAGCAGAGATGAAGGTCGTTAGCAGTGAAATCCAGGACGCGCGTTTTGTCTTACTTAGGACTGGTCAAATGGATGTCCCACGGTGAACATCAACTCTGGGATACAAGTACATCCAGCTGACCCGTCCCAAATAGGACGAAGCGCGCATTCTAGATCTCATAGCCAGCCAACGCTTTCTCTGCCTTCATTGCTTACTAAATTTCAATAATTCGATATGGTATAAACCATCTATAATTTAATCGCCTGTTTTGTATAATAATGTGGAACACCAAGGGAAACAAATGGAAACTCTTTTAAATTTCATCAGATCACTTCAATTTATAGAGTTTCATTCCCATCTGTATACGAACTGAAATAGAAGTTAACTGACGATTAAATCACTTTTACTAGTATAGGGGTTGTGGAGATTATTATGTTTTTGATTGAGATCATGAACCGATTGATGTTAGACCATCACAATTGAAAACCTGGAAGCACTGGACTGTTTTGATTATCTTGAAGATAAGTTTATCAACGAAATTTATGGAGTCATTTAGATTTTGCCAGAATTATCTTAGATACAATAATGTGCAACTAAATTTGAAACTGCAATTTGACAATAAAGTTAAGAGAGTAGGAATAAGAGTAAATCAGTTTTTATCACCTTTATGTATGCATTTAAATTGAATTTGATATTTTCAGAATTTCGTGCTGTCAGCTGATTGACAAGGAAATGCATTTTCTCTTGAGATGACATTGACGCAGTTTCTTCCAACCATCGAGTTAAACCTCCAGGTAATTTGCGTCCAACTTCATTCCATTCCGGTCTTGAATATACAAAAAATGTATAAAGCATAGGATTGTTCATTAGATAGACGACAAATTTAAAAAAATCACAATGAACATGCAAAATAACGAATAGCTTTGTGCCTAACACTATAGTGGATTTGTAGATTCATTCTAGAACTAATAGCACTACGTCAAAAATGATTTCTCAATATAATTAAAACCAAGTTAATTCTTAGGGTTGCAAATGGAAATCTGTGCTATAATTTATTCCTCTGTCATACGAACATTTCCCAAACATTAATTGTTTTCGTTTGATTGAAATAAGTGATTTGACATTTTGCTAGCGTTCGTGTGTAAACAAGATAGCTTGATTGTACTATCAGAAGCTCTTAGCATCGATTCAAGTACGTTAGATACGATAATCCTCTATCTTATTCCTAGTCTCTGCTAATCCAAAAGACAGATCTTCTGAAGTTTTATTGTGAGACGTCAAAATCGATTAGTTCAGTAAATCAGGAAACGGGTGAAAATTTATTAAAGATGTCCTTTACAGTAGCGAAAAACAAATAATGATCAATTAAGAAAAAAGCATAATCGGTTGTAATAAATTTAAAAGAGGCCTCCTTGTGAAGAGTTTCGGTGCTAAAAAAATTTAAGATATGTGAAAAGAAAAGAATAAGGTAGCAAGAAAGTAAGAGTCGTTTAATAGTATGACGGTGTTTAAGTATCCTTAACAATGTGGAATGGTTTACTGGGAGTTATTGTCGTTTTTCAATGATAATTTCTATCTGATAAGTTTCAATTTAATATTTTGAATAAGATGATATTTGTAGTCGTAAATAAGTAAATTTTGAAAAGCTTTTAGTAGAACATGAAATTAGTTTTATACTTTCTGTCTGTTCTTCTATATGATAAAAAATATGGGTCCAAAATCATGCATTTTCTTAAATAATAGAAAGCTAGTGGGGAATTTGTTATAATGTTATGGTTAACAGACATGAAGCACTGAAGTGATTGATGTGATCCAATCTCTAAGTTGTTCACTTAGCAAATCCCAATGAATAAATATTAGAATACAGAATTTCTAAACAACCAAGCAAATATATTACAGAATTAAATCTCTTATTCATACTATAAGATACTCAACCAAGATGAAATGATTATTAGGAGAAAATTATTGCGTAATCCTTACTGAGAATGAATGTTGTTAAATAACCATTGAAACTTTCATTGTTCCAGTGGTATCAGTTTTTACATGATTATACATTTTCTAAGCTTCTTATTGTACTCTTAACAGTTAATTTTCCAAAAGAGCTTACATTTCATGGTTTTCTAGGGTGAGGATCCTGAGCAGCCGTTTACTCTCGATTATACTACAGGTCTAAAACATCAACTGTATGAGTCAAGATTTTGATCATAAATGAATCCAAAGCATGGCATGGACATTTTCGGACCACCAAGTAAGCACTGTTGATGTCGGGCTTAGGTTACTGGACAAACATACCAAATTTATCAACGAGGCTATGAATTTTCACTAACTGTAATGTCTAGGACATGTGTCATGTAAGGTATACTATCACTTACCTTAATGTACAATGTTGGTTGTAGTAGATGTAGTTTTAAAGAAAGCTAATAAGCGAAAAAAAGCAAGATATTGGATCATTTAAGAGATCATTAGTTGTTGAAGTGATTTGTTTTGGTAGATAAAGGCTCCTGGTTTGGGTCTATACAAAAACTTCGATCTACAGTTGGGGATGTTGGACAACTTATCTCAGACGCATTCACTTTTTATTTTCCTCTGTATCTTAAATTCTATTTATTCCGTTTACTAGAATCATAAAAATAATGTCTACTTTTCTACACTATCAGGGCTACCTACTCTACTAACATGTATATTTTTTAAATTTCACTTCGTTGCATTGATGTGGTACGGTAACTTAGAATAAAGAATATTTGTATCCGGCTCTAGGATGTTGATGAATGATTGAATAACTTACAGTTATTTAAATGTAGCTTATATTTATAAATTTTAATGATTGTTTAAATAACAGTGTCGATACTGATAAATATACAATCCACTGTTTCATTGACAAGAAGTTGTTCATAAAGTTTATGAAAACCGTTAAATGAATGTTAAAAAATGAAACAACTACGTGACCTAATTTGTTCTCAGTTTTTATCATGAACTGATATTAATTAGAGAATCATTGAAGACCAGGAAATACTGTACATTCGTACATTCTCGTTTAGAACTTGTTGGTGGCTTTCATTTCGACGAGACAGAACTGAAGTACTTATAATCCCATTTATTCAAAATCCAGTCCTTCACATGTTGAACTTAAGCTATAATCTCAAATTAAGATATAAGTGAATTCATGATTGTGGTGAAATTGGTTTGCCTGTAGGGTTTTCTTTGATTGCGATTTAGTTTTCGTCATCTATTGACTTCCTGAAGCCAACGATAGTTATTTCACCCTCATATTTTAAATTCAACGAAACTGAAGAATACTCGGTGAATATAGTTAAAAACAAATATCAATCAGTAGTCATGTATTACAACGCTTATTTATTTGTTTCTTCGTATACTGTCAACTAAATTATTAAGCAAGCTAATAATGACTAAATATTTAATTATTTACCTCGGTGTTGATACTCTTTGTAACTGTTGAACTGTTGTTTCTGATTGATCACGTTGTTTCATAACTTCATTTAATTGATTTTTTAGAAGTCTGTGAAACAACAAAATTTACTTGTTGATTACATAATCTAGATCTTTAGATTAGAAGTATTGTTTTCATAAGTGAATAAATGACTGATAACAAATTATTCAGTACGATAGTTCATTACTTATTTAATGTTATATATGAAAAACAATCAAATGGTAGATTATCAAAGATATGTTATTCTGTCCTCTTGTGATACCTATTTGAATGAAATTTTGGAGATCTTCAGGTGAAATGAATGATAAATATTAGATGAAATCTAATGCATAACAGTTATTCGAATATTGTAATTCATTACTTAGAAGTGATTAGTTACGTAAAATCGTTGTAGTGATTTGAGTTGTACGTATTATTATACTTTTAATTATTATCCGAGTATTGTCCTAGAAGAGGATGAGCTTTAGGAACTATTAAATGTATTATACTCATTTCACCTTTGAAGAAGAAGATTTCTGTGATATACTGTCTCAGAAACTTATTTTAAGTGTCGTTAGAAGCATTTTTATCATTATAGTAGTTCAATTTATTACGCTGCAACTACTGCTGTCAATTCACCGTCCGACTTAATAAACCGACGAACTATCCGAGATTGCTGTTCTCTTATACATGATGTTATGGTCTTTTAATCAGTAACAAAAACGTGAGATTTTTGTACAAGTATTATATGACACAATTAAAACATATAAGTCTATATGATCGTTAATTTTTTAAATTGAAGCTTGTAGTAACAATTATACTAGTTTTGACTTATTTTACCATCTGGCTTAATTTAGGATAAACTGTTAATTAGTTTGTAGATAACATTCTACTGAGATTAGTAAACACAACTTCAATAAATTTGTAACACCAGAAGTTTGTTCTTGACAATGTTCCCCGTTAAAAGTAGTTTGAGGAGTGAAATATTTGTCTTACTATTGAAAAGTGAAAAAGTAGGTTGTTATGAGCTCTCTGTATCTTGACAACTGCAAACACTAAAGACAACATTCAAAACAGTCACTATAATTCATATACTGTTATCACATTTTAAATAACACCTGAAAACGTAAGAGTAATTACGTTTCTTATTAGACTTAGACGTAGAATGCAATTCATTGGAATGCTTTTTAATGAGCTTATCAATAATAATGAATCTCTTTACAAATTGTGTTCGAGTAATACCGAAGAATAACTTATTGGTTGAATTAATTTATTTTACCAAGTTACTGTTCACAATCACTTTTAAAAAGACTAAGTCAAAATTCAAAGACACTAAGTGACTAATGTATTTTACGATGAATTTAATGATCTTGGTTATAACGAGGTTGATACATAAATCCTGCTTTAAAAGTTATAAACTCACATTTTTTAAATATATATTAGTGGGAAGGAGGCCTAATTTCAAAGTTTTTTCAATAAAACCGATCAAAACTTACAACATATGGGTAACAGGATCTTAGACGTTGTGTTTAGAAAGGTATTTAAATTAAAGAACTTATCGGCTGTGACTTTTCACAGCTTTTCACCAGAATTTTGGAATAGTTGAGACAAGTACAATCAATAAAGATGAGTGATGACCGTATAATACAACAAGTGAAGCGAATTCGATAGTGTTAGCTTTTAAAGATATCACAATAGTTTAAATCAAACGTTGACTCCTGAACTTGATTCAACTAGTTTAATAAAATAACCTTGGTTCTAAACAATAAGGAGTAATTAAATAAAATGAGAAACTCAATTCTTTTCTCTGTCCATATTCTTCAGTTTATTAAATTGAATATTCTGACGTGTGTTAAAAAGCATGCGACAGTTTATTTAGAGGTGCAGGTCTATGGACACCAACCTTTCTTAAATAAAATTATCCTGATAACAGGACTGGTGAGAGTTAAGAAAAAACGTCAGCTATACAAAATTACAAAGTACTTACTCCCACCCTTGAATAATCATGAATAAAAACAAACTTGAATTAACTTTAGTAACATACATACTCCAAAGATTCATTTAATTGTTCATTTTCTTTAATCTTCATGTCATAATCGTTTTTTATTTTGTTATTTTCTTCCCATAAGGCATCATACCGACTTTTAGGCATAACATTCACGTATTCGGCTTTTAGTTGAACCACTTCAAATTCAGAAGCTGACTGAGCTTTTCTTGCTTGTCTAAAATAGGAAGATAAAAATATCTAACCATGAACTATACATCTTATGTGAAAATCTGTACGTTATTCATGAGTAACAACTATCTTTTGCTTGTTATATCACCTTAAAAAAGGTTTTAACCTAAAATAAATTCTGTTTCTTATAGAACTATTTAAAGTAGAAAAATACGTCACAGTAAGCCTAGTTTGCCTCACATAGTAAATAATTTTTTAGTCCTAAACTAGATATCACTGAAGTCGAATCATAAACTGAAAATCAAATTTTTTTCACTCAGGAATAGTAGGAAATTTATTATACTTCCACGGTCGCCTATTAGTGGAATTAACGGATCCAAATACTCTAAACCAAAGAGTTTTGAGAGTTGAGTACTGTCATAATAAAGCGTGAGTGTAAACAAAGCTTGTGAAAACAAGCTTTTTTGACAATATATTTGTTTGATTTCGCGTTAGATAACTGTTGGTTATGACTCTTCATATGATGGAACAAATTCAAATAAAGTTATTATAAATTGAATATATTTTTGAAATATCTCCAGAGAATATAATATTGATCGATGGAGTCATATTGTGAGTGTAAGTATGAGGTATGGTGAATTGCTAACCTGGAACACCAACATAGCTGTAGTGAACGAGAATTCAGGTGGGTTAAATCAATTTGTTACTGAATTCAAACTTACGCAGTGGCTTAGTAAACCATGGAAATCATACATTAAATACATCATTTGCACATGCTTTTTGAGTTGCCATTTATATACTTCATTATTCCCTTAATGATGTTGTTATTTTGATCATTTTCCGACTTCCATTCCTGTTCTCATCGATTCAATCTTCTGCTGCCAGGCACTCCGATTCCTATTGCAGCTAAATGCCACTTATATCTGTTACCGTAAGTAGCAGACACCACTTAGGTATAATAATTGTATGTTCGTTTCATTAACTCTAGAATGATGAAATAATTGTCGACAAAATCGGTTCACACAGAAACCAAGCTTTTTATAGCATTCTTTATTTTTCTAAACTGCACTTAAGTATTAGATAACTATAGAGTTTACTATAAACAGTAGTTAAACAGGTTTATTTGTGACAGTCACAACATGGTCTACTTTTTTCTGAAAATAAGTATGATCAACATTTGAAATATCTCCCGAATTAGTTTCATATGTCACAAATAGCTCCACATCGCATGTCGATGAGATTTTTGTGTCCGTTTCGGTAAGACGATCAAATTGTAAGACTCAAAATAAACTTAATATTAGATAAATTAGTTATCCCTAGTTCTTTCATAATATCAAGGACACACAAACAGATTCTTCGCGTATACGGATAGTTTTGTGCTTATATTATTTAATAAAGGGTCTCCGCAAGCGTTCATCCTTAGATTCGGTAGAGCAACTGTAAAATAAGACAAACTCATTATCTGCTGCTTCTTGGTTATCACTTAGTTTGTTGTTCAACTATCAATGCAGACATAAAATTAGTGACCTGAGTTTTTCTGCAGAGAACGTAGAGCATTAAAAAACCTTTTGTCGATTTCAAATTACAACACTTACTCTAGTGCGATTTTCAACAAGACTGGATCATCTTGTCGGTTAGTTTTACTTTGTAGTTGCTTAGATACCCCTTCACTTTCATCAAACTGCATTCTCATTGCATTAATTTCTGATATTAATAGCCGTTTTGCATCAGCTTCATATCTAAATTTGTCGTGTTCTTCTTTAATTGACTGAGTTAATTGTTCTACCTGGGCAAATAACCGTTGGAAAGTAAATATTAGCGTCAACGCGTAAAAATATTACAATTTGAAATCTTGAGTTTCTAAAATTGGCTAAGATCTCACTGGTAATTTATTTGACCAGCCGCTAGAATTGGTGGAGTGAACCTTTTTTGAGACAAAGTGTGGTGGAGTTTGTGTCAAACTCTGCTCTCTATCAAATTCGAACTGGATAAATTGGTTCCGAACATGTAAGTTAATCGTTAGAAGCCTGATAATTAAACATGTTAAGCACAGGAAATTATTATTGGAGTGATTTGTTCTTATATTGATATGGGAGCTTTTTTGCAACTTCAATTTCATAATAGAACCTTTTTAAAGTAAAGTTTGGATCACTTAGCAAGATGGTATAGATAAACCTAATGTGATCTATCAGCTTGCATAAATATAATCAGGTCACTGAATAATTGTCTGTATCGGTACTTATATGCTTTCAGAACTCTAAACATTTATTCATTAAGAGCCAACAACAGGTTTCCGTTGTCAAACTTTACCATACTTCGATAGTGTAACAAGATAAATTCTAAAAATGAACATAAAAATGAAATAATGTATTGGAAATGGAAACCTGGAAAATTAAATACCAAAAGTTTATTTCGAAAAGAGTGAGTGAAAGGGTATAAACAGAGAGATATCGAGATTGACTGAGTTTCAAGAGAAAATTAACTCACGAGCTTGCATGGCAATTTGCTACCATAAATATATAACGACTTTAGCAGCAAACCCTAACGTAAACAGCTAACAGAAGCCTAATTTCGATTGTCACTTGGTTGATCAGATACAGAATCTTGCATAGACATGTAAGTTTTCTAACATTTTCACAGAGTGATAAAATTGCCAAGACAAATCCATCAAAGAAAAAGTAAGAATCAGTCAGTAATAGTAAAAGAGTTTTGGAATAGACAGCATGATGTGTAAAGAGAGAGAATAAATTGATGAAATAGAAAAAGATGAGGTAAATTTATTGCTCTAAATCTGGCAGATGAAAAGAATGAGTGTATTTGTACAGTCGAACCACAACATGATACATGTGATATGGAGAGCCAATCAGAAGTGAGTTCATTTCATTGGATAAAAAAAATAGGTCAAGTTTCTAAGGATTGAGTGGTATATATATATATATATATATATATATATATATATATATGTGCATGAGTTAGTATTTGGCATTTAATTCGGTAGCTCTATACACTATCTTGACCACTCGTGTGTTCTCACACAAGTAATCATTTGGAGGGTTAGCGTGTAACAGACTGTTTATCAATATCAGTTAGTTGTACACCGCCCAATCCAATATAATGTTAGTCAGTTTCTCCAGTCGGTGTGACTCATTTAGATGATCTGATCCTATTAATAAAATCAAACACGTCTGTTAGTGGCTCCGTGTAGTGATGCTATATTTTGGATTGGTTACTCCTAGTATTCTTACAAGTAACACTTGAACCGGAAAATTTTGCTTGTTGAGGTGGGTGGTCAAATAAGAGTAATTCATGTTCCAGCCACCTCAGTTGGTGAGTAAAATCATTCTCATCTTTTTAAAACATGATTGTAAAAGAAATTTGATGTTTCTGAAAAAAACAGCGGAAAAAAGAGACGTATTAATGGTTGTTTTGCTTGATAGTTCCGTTACCAAAAGATACTTTAAAGTAATATTAATGAGGATTTTAAAGATTTATTTAAATACATTAAAGTAGGTTTTTATGTCTTTCAGTTAAATAAGATCACTGTGCTATTGAATACAGACATTTTAAATGAACATAGCTGCACTAATTTCACAGTATGATGTCTAACTGGACATATGACTAGTAAATGAAATAATTTAGTTCCATCGGTTAGGTTTGTGCTCAGTTGTGTGACTGATTCGAAAGCATTAAGTGTAAATCCCCTCAGTATTACTTTGTTTGGTTGCAAGCATATTTATCTCTCTGTCTGACGGTCGTTTTGTCTGTCTTCCTGTCTGTTTATTTATCTATGAGCACTCTGGATAGGTCTATTTCATCTCAGTACACTGCAGATTAGCCTATTCTAGTGTAGTCATGGACGAATTTACTACAGTGCGATTGCGGGGGGTTTCAATTCACAGTATCAATATGAATTTTATTCGATCACAAGACGGTCTATTCAGGTGTTAAACCAATTGTATTATTCCTGAAATCCATTTATAATGACTCAGTCCCATTACACTTCGGTTGTTTATTAATACTGTACACCCTAGTCTATCCAACCACTTACATATGCGCTCAAAAATACTTTTATTCTAGTTTTAGCTTAGTTTATTTGTCTTCAGTTATTGGGCATAAATATGACGAATATAACAACCACGTGATAAACCGGAGTCATAGGTGTAAAGTAATAAAATTTAAGCCACTACATCATATAAGTGTGGGAAATATAGAGCATTCGACTGGTAAGGATCAAACTGCGGCTAGAAAAGGACTGTTAAAAAGTTAAACTTGGTTGCTTTTAATCTCGGAAATCGTAATGAACTTTGTTGGTGACTAATGGCTTGCTACGTCATTGAAAACCAGCGGTTCTCTGTAGTGATTATTCAAAATGCTGTCAAAATGTCAACAGTATCAGTTACGTCAAAACTCTTCAATCAACAAGAAAAGTTCACCTTCCCAATATATTTTACTATATATCAGCCAATCTAAACACATACAAATTGAGTCATTCTGACAATAGACCTTGTTTGAAAAGTTTTTTTAAATTTGAAATGACCGTTTGTACCACTGTATCACTGTTATTCATCATGTGGCAATTTCTTTGTCGTGCATGGAGTAAATTCTGGAGAACATACAGTGACTAATAGTTTATATGTCAAGTACAAAGGCTTTTATAACAAAACTACCAATACGAAAAAAAAACATTTACGAACTGAAAAGAAATCAGCACTTTTTAATATTGTTCAAAAGATATTGTGATCATTTTTGGGGAATGACATAGCTAAACCCAAATTTTGCAACCATCTAGAAACTGACCAACACAATGATATAAGTTCTTACAATTATCACCATAATTGATAAAAAAACTTTTATTAACCAGTAATTATATATTAGCTTCACTTCGTTTACTTAAAAAATTACAAAAACGAACGCAAATTGCACTGACAGAACCTCGAGAATTGATAAGTTAATAGAGCTGTTTTGGGCGACATGGCTTGGAATTAATCACGCGAACTCGAGTGCACTCGCGAGTTATCTTCCCTTAGATCACATGTTCCCACATTACTTTATAATTCTTTTTCATCACTCAATAAATTGGTATTTTCTTATTGTATCTTATCTTCTGTGACTATGTTTTACTGTTGTCGAGAATTCCGTAGCTGCTTTTACTACCTTTGGACTTGTCGCTAGATTTGTCAGTTCCATCCAGATTAGGTAACGTGCTATGGTAACTTACACACGTGCAAATATATACCAGGCTCTACGTTGCATTTGCTAAATGACTGAGTAAGTTGAGTTAATACTTACGATATCACAAATTCGGTCAAATAAAAACAACAAGCAACGATAACTTCAAAGAAGAATAATGCGATGCGCAATAATAAGTCAGAGCGAAATTAACTGTCAACCGCAAAATAAGGTAAATTATATTTTTCACAATTTATTCTTTGTGAAGAAACCGCGATATAGATTTGATGATTTAGTAACTGAAACTGTTTTTCGATACAATCAATAGCGTTACGCGATTGCAAATAATTATTCAGTGGCTCACCTGAGTTTCTAGACCAACCTTATCCTCCTTTAATTGTGAAACCAATTCTCTCAGTCTTATGATTTCTCGTTTCAAACTATTGAGTTCTTGTATGTTGCTAGACTAAAAAATAAATTGTTACCTGGTCTTTCTCGCTTTTGTATTTTTAATATACGTTCATCGCACTCTTGAGAAATTGTCCAGAGATATTCCTATACGCAGTGACAAATGATAGTAATAAACATATTATAAGTTTCACCTTGACTGGTCTAAGCTTTTGTGCCTCAGCCTTATAAAAGTTTAGGTATTCTTCATATTCTTTGTTGATGACGGAAAGAAACGTTCTGTATGTCTTGAACTCATGGATGAATGATTGAAATGCTTCTTTGTAAATCTGTCAGTCGAACAAGTGAGCGTAACTATAGAGGAAACTAACCTGAAACCTAAGGTCCCTGTCATCTGACTGTATATTTTTTAAACCACTGCATATTTTCTTTTCGAGTGTATCAAGGAATTTTGGTTTTGGAACAATATTAGGGATTTCTTTTCAAATCGCAACTATTTATTTAGTAAAAAGACACCAACTTGTTTCAACTTCTGTCAGCGAAACTAATTTATTATTGATAACACACGCATTCGACTTTGCGAACACTCTTCCAAGGGCATGTGCTGGCCACTTTTCCAAAAAATCCTCTAAATCTCCCATTGTTCAAAACCGTGTGGTGTGTTGTTATGACAACGAATTGAGGATAAAACACATAAACGGAAAATATAACGTTCTTCTATCATTAGTGTATCATAGACGCATAAAATATCATAAAAACATGCTAAAATCTGAATTCTGAGAAAATAACAGCCAAAATAGCTGGTTATTGTTGCAAAATACAAAGCTAGTGTCTACAGTCCCTTCTGCTGTGTTGTGTCTCTAGTTTCTGGGTGTTATCTCTTAAGTTTGTGTTGGAGATTAACTTAAATGGGTATTTAAGAGAATGTCCACAAGTGTAAAGGATACTGTAAGCCATTAGGTCACATGTATGACGCCTATAATCTAATGGGTAAGGGTATTTTAATTGAAGGCGATCTTCATAAGGCTTGAATTTGAGTCCCAGAACTGATTTCTTTGCTCGCCGCTAGATATGTTCTAGAGTGTCCTAATACTTTTGGAGTGAAGGAGGAGATACTGTTTTCGTAATCTGAATATGGATTAATGAACCTGTTGAAGATTATGTGGAAATTTCTACTGTCAAACTGGCCAAAAATGTTACTAGTGCAAGGTTTGCTCGTAGGGTATCAGCACTACTAAAACTTTTTCAACTCAAGGTACTTCTATAGAAGAGTTTCCTAAGTTGTAACTGTATTCTGTAACATGTCTCAGATGGACTGCTTTTTACTTTGACGTGTTAAAGGTAAGTCCGTTGTCATCTGTCCAACTTTGAAGTCGAGTCAGATCATCCTGAAGTGTCAGCACATCCTTTTGGCTGCTTCACTCACAAACTAACTTCTCGGTTGATAAGTGTTTAGTATGCCTATTTATTTATCCTTCTTTTTTTTCAAACTGATGGAAAAATTTAACATGAATATCCTGATGGTAGACTTCAGATGAGTTAGTAATTATCAAAATGTGTTCATTGATTTATTTTGTGGCGGTAAATGGATCCCAAGAATTAATAGTTTTGGAAGTCTTTAATATTGGTCCTGACCTTAGTTTTAACTGGATCTCTATGTGAATTTTCTTCGCCGAATATTCTCAACAGATCACGTTTGTGTACAATGTCCTGCTAAGCTTTTACTGCAGTTAGATTGTTTAGATTGAGAACATCTCAACGTCATCCAAATATATGCTTACACACATTTTCTCTCTACTTTTGGTTTGATTGAGCACAAGAATTCGTGCATAAGTAGAGATTTCAGAAAACGACATTATTTAGTAGTTTATACCTTTAACTCCTTCAATTTCTCTACTTTTTCCAATATCCAATATCTTTGTAATGAGATAATATAAAACGTTAATTCTTTTGTGTCATCTGTTTGACATTACGAGAAGGTATTGAAGAATGCAACAGGTATTTGGCGTTTGACAACGCTTTAACAAGTAACACCTAATATGAATCGTAAATCAGTAGTGATGACCCCTATGACGTGGCCAGCCAAAAGTTTAAACCCGACGAGTTTGCCATTGGTAAATACATATTTGATAGCTTGTTTGGTTTAGCAGCGTCTAATAATCTTTTCTTACTATAAAATGTCATGTAGTACAATATAGTAATAAAAAAGGTACAATCAACTTTTCGGTTCCTCGTAAACATCTCCGTTCTTTTTCGTTTTTTCCAGCCGTCCTGGAAAATAAAAAAAAGGATATGTAAGTGCGTGCTGAAATATACACGAACGCAAGGTGGGCGAAAAAGAGGAAAATAAACTCGTGCGCTCGTGATAGTGTAGAAAAGTTTTTTACAAAATGTTTTTTTATTTCTTTGTATTTTTTCGAAGCAAAAATATAGGTATACAAGCATATTAAAATTGTTTTTTTATTTATTTATAGTGAAAAAGAAAAACGAGACGATATAAAATGTCAACTACTATCTTACATGCAATAATCGTTCAAATGTTCTGGAAATCTTATTCTTGTTCCATAGTGAGTTGTTTTATGTTTATTTTCTGATACTCTCGAAGTATCATCGCGCGTGTTGGCTATCAGATGAGGTATTATAAATGTGAAAGCCGTACTGATCGATTGTACCGAAGGAAAGTTGATATTATTAGGATTTCTTTCTAAAAACGCAGTTGCGAGTTGATAGATGATGATGATATTGTTCGTTCCGTACTAATAGACTATATACTTTTAGGGTTTGCGTTGAAGTACTTTTAAGGGTTCTTCATTTTTTGATTCGAGAGATCGTCAGAGTGTCGTTCCATAAACGAGTTGAGCCGCAGTTTATGAGATGTCAGCTTTCCCTGCATTGCGAATACCTAGTAAAACGAGTGGGAGAGCATCAGTCCACTGAAAAATGTTTGCAGCTGATAGTGAAGCTTTCAGTTGTCGGTGAAAACTGTTTAAAAACGTCATTCGGGACAAAGCGTCAAGGACTGCATGTTTGCTCCAGAAATGTGTAGAAGTGAAGTGAACTGCGAAATGTAGTCCAGTTGTTGGTACTCCCATGGTAAGTACTTGTCTGAAGAGGAGATTAAAGGTAAGGGCCTTATGATAAGTAAAAATGAGTGAAATCTCGGCCTTCGAGAGCATGTTGAAAGTGTCGTACAGCACAATACATAGGTAGGAGTTCCCTACCGAATATGCTGTACCTCGATTCCGTGTCTAGCAACCGTCTCGAGAAGAATACTGAAGGTTCCTAGAAGTGGGTGACACATTGCTGTAAGACTCTTCCGATTGCTGAGTCGGATTCGTCTGTAGAATTATGGTCTAATATGAGGTTAGCACTGCGCTGATAATAGACCTAATCCTGAAATTGTAGAAGTGCATGGTTATGCTACTACAAGTTTACTGCGATACTAATGTGCGCTTGCTATCAAGCTGTCATCAGAATCCGTATGTACGAAGTTGAGAACTCGAAAAACGTTATCTATGAACCTTTGGAGAGTATGGACAGCATTTCTTAGACCGAATGGCATTCGCAAAATGTCGTAGAGTCCAAAGGGAGTTATGATGGCTGTTTACGGAATATCGTCAGTGGCCATGGTGATTTGGTTATACGCTTTAACCAAGTCGATTTTCGAAAAGACAGCTGTACTTTTCAGTGTAGCTGTCAAGTCGTGAATGTAAGGTAAATGGTTATGATCGGGAATGGATTTGCATTCAATCGCCAATGGTCACCAATTTGACGCCAACCGTTTCTTTTCTTTTCGAATTCGTTTTCGTACAACCTTAGCTTTTCGGAAGTCAGTCGGCTAGCTTTAGAGGACACAGGTGGTCCTGAGGTCATGATGCTGGTTACACACGGCATTTTCGGTTGCGCTTGGTATATCCCAGAATACTTACCGATTAGTGGTTGTTAGAATGGGCCTATTGTGTGCTTAATTGTGACTGGAGGTAATCTGCAACCAGAAAATAAGTTACTCAAACAGATAAATTAGTGTTTCCGTCTGCTAGCCTCCGTTTGCGCATATCGAAGAGTAAATTGTAGTGTTTGGGAGGTCTATACCAATCATTACATAGAAACATCTGCGACAACAAATATACAGTGAGTGTATTTGCATAAACCCACGTTAAGGGGAATCTACTTTTCCCCATATGTAGCGATAGGTTTTCCGTTTGCCAACAGTAACTTTTAAACCTATTCGCGAAACTGGTCGTTAGAATTCGCTAGGAGAACACTAACTTCTGCACCATTCTCGACGAGGTAGCGAACTCTCATTGCCACATCTGTGACGTACAACAGACGGGTATGTTCGCCGGCTACGGTTGCCGTTAACGCGTGTCGGTTTGGAAGTTTCCCTAGTTGTTTTTCGTGTCGCTCGGTTTTCAGTTGTGAAAGCCACACGGTTTTCTGCAATTTCTAGAAGACTTTCCATAATGGTTATGATACCAAAACCAGTCTGGGTAATCTGTCTCTCATGGTCTAGAGACAGTTCGTCTGCGTTAAGTGCTTCGCGGAGCGAGTGAACGTTTACGGTCGTTACTAAATCGCAGATAACGTGTCAGTGTTTGGCATAGTTTCGTAATGTCATTCTGGGTTGTTTAAGGTCTTTCTTTGACTGAAAAAACCTCGATATTAGAAGATTTCGTGATTTCTAAAATGTGGTTGGCAGATGCAGCTAGCTCAACTAAGGCTTTTTTGTGAAACGAGACAAGCATAGCTTGCACCTGTTGAGGAAATTTGGATAAGGAAAGCTGTTTAAATAGACCATCATTGAAGGTTCTTTGGCCGATAACCTCTCCCATTCGTTGCAACATGTCCGTCGCAGAACCTTGATGCAGGTCGATGTTATTAAGGAGTTGGTCTATCGGTTAGGTCTCCGTGTTTAAGTGTTTCGTAGGCTTCTGAAACATTACTAGTAAACATAATAAAGGTTAGGTACCTGTTGAATTTACGCAGTAGTGTCTTGACTACCGCGAGGAAATGTGCACGTGTGTCCATCACGCCGTGCTCATTGAAGTCGGCTTCTGAGTAGCAGAACCAGGCTTCAATGTTTTCTGGTTAGAAGGACATTATTTGAAACGAAGGTTGGGATATAATGTTTAACTTAAGTACCCTGAGTGTCTGTTCAGTCATGTTGAAATATGAAGTACGAGAATGAACGACTGAAAAAATATATATCCAAAAACATGTTAAAAATGTCAGAATTTATAAAATTAAAATAAAGCAATAATATATAAAGTCCAAAAATGTTATAGACTCACAGTCTGCGATTTTGTGCACCAAATCACGTTGGGCTCACCAGTGAAGATGCCACAGGTATTCGGGGTTTGACAACGCTTTAACAAGTAACACCTAATATGAATCGTACCTACCAAGTGAAATCAAAAGACAGAGGTGAGGAGGTTCGAAGATATGTTAGATAGGTTATCAAATCTGCCTAGCGATTGCAGTAGATGTTGAGTACGGCGTTCCAACTCGTGTTCTGGCGCGGATGCATGACCGATCTCCTTCAGCTAGGTGAGTCCATTAAAACTAATGTGGTCAGCACCCAACGTCGAAAACTTACAGAGCTATTTATTTTGGTGGTGTATTTACCATTACGTTGTCATTTCTTTCCCACAGTTCAGTAAGAGTAACCT